TGAGCAGGCCACTTGTTTCCCACGTTAACCCTACTCCTTGCTGAAGTGGGGATGATTCCAGCTTGCTCACTCATAGAATGCCCTGTTGTCCAGTGCGGGTAGCCCCAAGGGAACTAAACTGGAGGATTGTAATCTTTTTCCTTTTTTTAAGTTTATGTGATAACCACAGAGGTTACCTGAGAAGTAGAGATGAATTAAATATAGCAGAGAGATGTGAGGTTTTGAGTCTTAGGAACTGAGAATTTTTCTTTTCAGTCTTTCCCTTGTTACTTATTTTCTGTTGCTTTGGGTCTTACTTTGGGCCATCTTCTGCTTTCCAAGATGCATTAGCAAGGAGATGGATTGGAAGCAGAACAGTGGACTTGAACCAGGGCTCCAATTTGGGATGCCAGCATTGCAGGCAGCAGCTTAATGCGCTGCACCACAATGCTGGCCCTTGAACAGACATTCCTTTTTTTTTGTGTTTTTTTTTTTTTTTGACAAGGCAGAGTGGACAGTGAGAGAGAGACAGAGAGAAAGGTCTTCCTTTGCCGTTGGTTCCCCCCTCCAATGGCCGCCATGGCCGGTGCCGCTGCGGCTAGGCGCACTGCCGCTGATCCAATGGCAGGAGCAAGGTGCTTCCTCCTGTCTCCCATGGGGTGCAGGGCCCAAGCACCTGGGCCATCCTCCACTGCACTCCCTGGCCACAGCAGAGAGCTGGCTTGGAAGAGAGCAACCGGGACAGATCCTGGCGCCCCGACCGGGACTAGAACCCGGTGTGCCAGCGCCGCTAGGCGGAGGATTAGCCTAGTGAGCCGCGGCGCCGGCTGAACAGACATTCTTAACTTTACTAGTCAAAGAAAAGAAAATTTAAAAAAACCAAACCCCCTTTACTATTTAGCTTACTGTGTCTTCCTTTCATATGAAGGATATTCAAAAATTTCATGGGATGTGTGTATTATGAAAATTCTATGCATGGATTTCAGAATTTTTTTGCATCCAGATAAACCTAACTTTTAATTTTATTGTTTTGATAACTTCTTTGAAATATTGTCATATTTAGTGCTTTTGTGTCTTAAGGCCACTTCCTGTATCCACTGTAGAGTCATGAAGATGTTTCCCCTTTTTTAAAGAAGTTTTAAATTCATTAATTTATTTGAAAGGCAGAGAGAGACATAGACAGATAGGGACAACTTTCATATACTGCTTCACTCCCCAAATGCCTGTGATGGCTTGGGCTGGGTCAGGCTAAAGCCAGGAGCCTGGAACTCAGTCTGGGTCTCCTACATGGGTGGCAGAGACCCAGCTACCTGAGCTGCCTCCCAGGGTGTGCATTAACAGGAAGCTGGAATCAGAACCAAAAGCGGGGTGGGGACTCCAATTCAGGTACTCCAATATAGGATGCTGGTGTTTCCAGTAGTGGTCTCACTGGTGCACCAAATGCCTGCCCCTCTCTAATTTTTTCCCCCAAATTCTTTATTTTTTAAAAACTTTTTGATTAGCATGTATACTTGTACAGGGCATAGTGTAATCTTTCAACACTTGGATAAGTGCAGACTGATTAAAGCAGGGAATTGGTGTCTCCACTTCCCCACCCTTTCTCTGTATTTGCAGCCAACCAGCTCCTCTCTTTGAGGTCTTTATACAGTGTATAGTACGTTGTTGTGAACTATAGTTACCCTACTGTGCTGTGGAACCCTGGAACCTATCTCCTTTCTGTATTTTTGGTATCTTTTATTCAACCTCTCTCCAACGCCCTCCCCGACTTTTCCCAGCCTCTAGCAGTCACTATTTTAAATTCAGATCAACTTTGTCTTTAACTTCCACATAGGAGAAAAAATAAGCAGATGACTAACCCATAGTTCAAATGGTTCAGAGCAACCATGAGTTTACTTTCTCCATCTGAAAGATGGATATTTACCAAGTATATGAACTGAAGTTTACTTCTGTTTTCACAAAACCTTTAAGAAATAAGTGTACAGACTTGTTTCATCTCTTTGCACTTGTGGCAACTATTAAAGCCATTGTCTGCTGAGTAGTTTCTTTTTAGGAGTTAGGTTTTTATCTTAGTCATTAAAGAGTTTGAGCAAGGAGAATGATAAAGTTAAATTCCTGTTTTTAATTTTGTTGGTGGAGGTGCTGGGGGGGGGGTGACGATTTCTTGTCATCAGGAAAGAATATGTATGTGTATAGCTAGGGCAAGGTGTCCATGGTGGTCTGGCTTACAAATTCCGAGGGCTTCCTTCTCAGCCTTTCTGATCCTACAAGTATCTGTTCTAGATTCTTATGTGCCCAGTGCTAGTTGAGTTTCCATGTGTCTATAGGTGACTTCATTCATTCTGTTCAAAGAAAAACACTTTCTTTTGCTAACTCTTTCCTGACTTGGCAGCTAGTCATGCTCCCAAGTATTTAAGTGCTTTATTTAAACATATGTACACTTCGGTAAGGGGGGACAAAATAAGAGGATATTTTGAGTGGTTGATTCTGTCGAGATTTTCACTGTTTTTAAGGTAGACAGAGGAAGGTTTTTATGAGATATCAATGATGTTAAAATATTTGTTATTTAATTTATTATTTATTAAATGAGTGAATAAAAGAGTAGTTGTGTATACTTCTAAAATTGTGAATACCCAGATGGGAATTTGACCTCCCTATTGAGAATAGAAGTTATTTATGGTGATTAATCCTCCTTTTGAGGATACCTATATTGATTCCATATCTTGGCTCTTGTGAGTAGGGTGAGTAGGGCTGCAGGAAACAGGGGAGTGCAGACTTCTCTTTTGCATACTCATTTCACCCCTTGGAATATCTGCCTAGCAGGAGGACTTATGTCCGGTCTGTTTCTAGTTCTTTGAGGAATCTCTATACTGTTTTTCATTGATAACTAATTTACATTCCCACCAACAGTGTGTGAGTTCATTCAGGGTTCTCTGCATCCTTGATGGCATTGTTATTTTTTGATCTCTCTGACAATCTATTCTAACTGGGATGAGATGGTATCTTGTGGTTGATTTCCCTGATGGCTAGTGGAGTTGAACATTTTTTCATATACTTGTTGGTTGTTTGTATATCTTCTTTCGAGAAGTGTGTATTCAGGTCATTCACCCATTTTCTAAATCAAATTTTTTTTGTTGAGTTTGTTATATATTCTGAAAATGTATCCTTTGTCAGATGCATAGGTATTATGGGTATTTTTCCCCAATTCTCAGCTTGTCTCTTCACCCTGTTGATTGTTTCCTTTGCTATTCAGAAGCTTTTTAGTTTAATGTAATCCCATTTGTCAACATTTGCTTTTGTTGCCTGTGTATTGGAGGTCATATTAAAAAAAAATCTTTTTCCAGACCAATGTCCTGACATGTTTCCCCTCTGATCATTCTTTGAGTTGCTTATCTGGGAAGCAGACGTGGAGCTATGTGAATTTGAGAGCCTACGTAAAACTCTTCAAATCAGTTCCTTAAAATCTTGGAACACATCTTGGGAACATGTGATGAAACATCTTCCATTTGCCAACAGTCCTCTGCTCATGTGACTACCCCAAATAAACATAAACACTAGAATAATAACAAAGTGCTCTGGGTCATGTGTTCCACAAATCAGATTGTGCATTTAGAATGGCTAGAGAGGATTAGAAGTTGTTTTGCTACTCTAAATCATAGACTTCAGGGTAGATGTACTTGCCTGAGCACCAAAGAATCTTTTCTCTTTTAAGTGGTAAATTTACCATGCTTTCCATCTTAGATATTGTGTTAGGTCAGTCTTAACCAAAAGATAGATATTTCTTCTTTCTTTAGTTCTTTCCATAAACGGAAATGAAGTTTTTTTTTTTTTTTAAAGATTTATTTATTTGAAAGGCAGAGTTACAGAGAGAGAGAGGAAGGACAGAGAGAGAGAGATCAATCTTCCATCTGCTGGTTCACTCCCCAAATGGCTGCAATGGCTGGAGCTGGGCCAGTCCAAAGCCAGAAGCTTCTTCTGAGTCTCTCGTGTGGGTGTGGGGGCCAAATACTTGGGCCATCCTCCACTGCTTTCCCAGGTGCATTAGCAGGGAGCTGGATTGAAAGTGGAGTAGGTTAGGCCAGCGCCGTGGCTCACTAGGCTAATCCTCCGCCTTGCGGCGCCAGCACACCAGGTTCTAGTCCCGGTTGGGGCGCCGGATTCTGACCCGGTTACCCCTCTTCCAGGCCAGCTTTCTGCTGTGGCCCGGGAGTGCAGTGGAGGATGGCCCAAGTGCTTGGGCCCTGCACTCGCATGGGAGACCAGGAGAAGCACCTGGCTCCTGCCTTTGGATCAGCGCAAATCCGCAGTGCGGCGGCCATTGGAGGGTGAACCAATGGCAAAGGAAGACCTTTCTCTCTGTCTCTCTCTCATTGTGCATTCTGCCTGTCGAAAGAAAAAAAAAAGTGGAGTAGGCAGGACTTTAACTGGCGGCCATATTGGTATGCTGGTGCTGCAGGCAGCAGCTTAACCAGCTGCTGGTGTGCCATAGTGCCAGCCCCGAACTCCTTTTTTTTTTTTTTTTTTTTTTTTAATTTATATATTTTATTTGAAAGAGTTACAGAGAGAATGAGAGCCCAAGAGAGATGTCCTTCATCCTCTAACTCCCTCCTCAAATGGCTGGAGCTTCTTCTGAGTCTCCCACATGGATGCAGGGGCCCAAGTACTTGGGCCATCTTCTGCTGCTTTTCCAGGCTATTAGCAGGAAGCTGGATTGGAAGTGGAATAGCTGGGAAAGGAACCAGGGCCCATATGGGATGCCGGCATCATAGGCAGCGGCTTAACTCGCTATGCCACAATGCTAACCCTGGAATTGAACTTTTAATGACTAGTGTTGGTTAAAATTTGATTTGACTTTGAAGAGGAGATGTTTTAATCATTGTGTTGGGAATTTTACTTTTACATTCTAATGGATTTTTTATTTCATTTTGCTAGTTTAATAATGAACAAGTGTACCATTATTTTAGCTACGATAAATTTTTTGTTTAATTTTTTTCTAATCTAAGAGAGATATATTTACTTTCCAGGAATTACCCAACTCTGTCTTTCTTGTGATGGAGGTAGGTAGAATACAAGCTTCTGTTCAATTCATTTTAAATTCCCTTTGATTAATATGCACTTTAAAACTGATAGTAGATTATTATTTGAAAATTTGAATTAATGAAGTCAGTTCAGTCATCTAGATTTCTTCCATATAAGTAAGGAATATAAAATTTAAAAATTTTAATTCCATAATTATGTTTTTTAGACTAGATTCACATGATACACAAATGACTTTCTAAATAAAATGAACTGAGAATGGATTGAGTTAATCTTGAGTCACTGACCTTACTTTAATGACTTTTTCTTTTTCAATATCAGTATTGCAATGGTGGAGACCTGGCAGATTATTTGCAAGGTAATGTGTGTGTGTGTGTGTGTGTGTGTGTTCAGTATAGGTACTACTGCAGTCTGTTTAATACTAAGAAGTACTTTTGAAATATGCTGTCCTTGTTTTATACATTCCTATGAGACATTCAATAACTATTTTTGTGTATATTTAACATAGTCACTTTGCTAACAGTTTACTGTGGTTGTGTTCCTAAAGTTACCTGTGTGTAAATGCTGCTTTTGTGTGTGTGTGTTGAACACTGCGTAAGAGATGAGCCTTCTGCCCAGGAGGGAAGAAGCCAACTAGAATTTCTGTCCTTCAGAGGGCTCAACTGAGTTGCTGTCAGGGAACCTCGCATTTCTGACAAACTGGAAAATCTTAATGGAAGAATGTATTAAATAATGCATTTATGTGAATATGTCTTACAATTTAAAAAAATCCATTATGAAGAACTAAAGGTGACACTGAAATTATTTCATGGCATTGAATTAAGATTTTAGAACTGGATGGTGCATGAAATTTTGAATGCAAAGTGCATACACATAGGTTGTGAAGCATTCAAATAAAATTGTGTCTCTCCAAAGTATTTTATCATGTTAAAAAAAAAATAAGAGACAGCTTTCCCATCTGCTGATTTACTATCCAAATGCCTGCAGTGGCTGGGCCTGTGGGAAGAAGAGAACTCAGGTCTCCCAAATGGGTAGCAGGAACCCATTATTTGAACCATCCTACTACCTCCTGGGGTTTGTGTTAGCAGGAGCCAGAGCCAAGTACCAAACCTAGACACTGCAGTGTGGCATGTGAGCATCTGGGTTTGTGGCTTGTCCTCTATGCTAAACATCTCACCCCAGTATTTGATAATTAAAAAAATTTTTTTCTTAAGATTCATTTTATTATTTGAAAGCAGTTACAGGGAGAAGTAGAGACAGAGAGAGAGGTCTTCCATCTGCTGGTTCACTCCCTAGATGGCCTCAGTGGCTGAAGCTGTGCCGATCAGGAGCCAGGAGCCAGGAGCTTCTTCCGGGTCTCTCACGTGGGTGCAGGGGCCCAAGGACTTGAGCCATCTTCCACTGCTCTACCAGGCCATAGCAGAGAGCTGGATCAGAAGAGGAGCAGCCGAGACTAGAACTGGCACCCATATGGGATGGTGATGCTTTAGACCAGGGCTTTAACCCACTGCGCCAGCCCCCTAAAAAAAAATTTGTTTTCATTTTATTTAAGAGGTGTGGGTGGAGATCTTCCATTCACTGGTTCATTCCCCAAATGTCTGCAGCAAGTCAGGGCAGGGCCAGGCAGAAGCTAAGAGCTTACAGTTCCATCTAGTCTCCTCCATGAGTGGCAGGAACCCAACTACTTGAGCCATCAGCAGCAGCCTCCCTAGGGTGCTCATTAGCAGGAATTTGGATTAGAAGCAGGGTAGCTGGAACCAGGCTTTGCAGCGTGAGATGAAGGTATCTCAGGCAGCAACTTAACCACTGAGCCAAATGCCCGCCCCTAGTAATTTTTAAATCATGGAGATTTATTTTATTTGAAGATGGTGTCACTTGAGAAGTCATTAAGATGATTTTGGAACCATAATATTTCACTTGTTCCAGGTGTTAATGTTATTTTTATGTTTCTTAATTACAAATGGAAAGGTTATGTAGAACGTATTCTAAGAATTAGATGGACAAGAATGTCTTATCAAAAGATTTAAATAGAGTCAAAGATATTAAGTCTTTAATGTAGATTTGAGGAATTACATTTAGAACATTTACATTTGTTATATTTGAATGTGTAGTATATTTGAGTAATTATGTGCCAGACCTTTTTATAAAATCTTCATCATCAAACGTGTTATTTCGTTTAATCTTCATAACACTCTGTTATGTGGTTGGTCTCTTATCAGCTTTTATAGCTGAGGAAGTGGGCACAGGGATTCATTTTTTGGAGTTACACAGTGAGTGAAGGAGCCAGGATTTGAACAAGTTTAGCCTAACAATCAAGCCGTAAACCCTCATGCACCCCAGCACACACAGAAATGCTGTAGTGGTTACTACACGGTGATTACCTTTTAATGATATTCAGACTGCCTCTTTATAGTAGTAAAAGCATTTTTTTCTTAAAGGCATCTTTAGTTGAGAAACATCCAATGCTGGGACAGTAGTGTTGGGGAAACTGGGGAGAAAAAAGGAAAGAGAGAGATGTACGTTTGGCCTAGTGGATTAAGAAACTTCTTGGGGCGTGTTTCTGATTCTAGCTTGCAGCTCCCTGCTAATGCACACCCTGGGAGGCAACGAGTAATGGCTTAAGTTCTTGGATCCTTGCCATCCTTATGGGAAACTGAGTTGGAGTCCTAGCTCCCAGTTTTGGCCTGGTCAAGCCCTGGATGTTGTGGGCATTTAGGAAGTAATGGATGGGAGTTTATCTGTCTTCCTGTCTCTGTCTATCTGTCCCTCAAATAAATAAAATTTAAAAATAAAAGATAAGATGTGGGAACTCAGATCCTGAGAGGTATAAGCAATAGTGGTATCAAGTCTTTCTATTCAGAGATTTTGCCTGTATTTTTTTTTTTAAGATTAATTTATTTGAATGGCAGAGTGATATAGGGAGAGACAGAGAAAAAGAGACCTTCCATCTTCTAGTTCACCCCTGAAATGGCCACAACGGCCAGGGCTGAGCCAGGTTGAAGCCAGGAGCCTGGAACTCCATCCAGCTCTCTATGTGAGTGGCAGGGGCCTAAGTACTTGGGTCCTCTTCTGATGCTTTCCCAGACACATTAGCGGGGAGCTGAATCTGAAGCAGAGCAGCTGGGACTCAAGTGGCACTCTGATATGGTATGCCTGTGTCATAGGCAGAGGCTTAACCTGCTGTACCACAATGCTGGCCCACATTTTGCCTGTTTTTTATTTTTAATTATTTTTATTTTGCTTGTTTTAAATTTGTGCTTATGTGATGGTTAGAATTAAATATGGACATTTACCCAGATACTTGACTAATATGAAAAGCAGCTTAGTTTTTGGCTTGTAAAGGAGATTCACATTTGTTGTACTTACAGTATTTTAGTAATGTGGCCACTTTCAGCAGTAAAAACAGAAAGGGCAAAGCCAAAATCACAGGTGACAATGGAGGAAAATGCAAATCAGTTTTCTTTGTAACAGATTGGTTACATTTTTGGAGAAATCTAATATTTCTTCATGGACTTCAGTTATTAAAGTTAAAAAGTGAGTGAATGTGCATTTCTTTTCTTCGCTTCATGCTGTCTTTCACAACTAAATTCTGTTAATGGAATATGCAGATGATATTTGATTTTTTTGTGCTTAAATATTTATGTAATTCCTTTCCTGCCAGCTAAAGGAACTCTCAGCGAAGACACTATCAGAGTATTTCTGCATCAGATTGCAGCTGCCATGAGAATTCTGCATAGCAAAGGAATAATTCACAGGGATCTCAAACCACAGAACATCTTGTTGTCCTACGCCAACCGCAGAAAGTCAAGTGTCAGTGGTATTCGCATCAAAATAGGTAAAAGGCCATGCATTGTTTCATGGAAGAGACGTTTTTGAGACTCAGTGTTGTAGATAATTTTAGTTCAGCTTTATTGATGCAATGTTGAAATTTTTATTGAGTTCAGCGAGGTCTGTTTAGATATGTGAATCCTTTTTACCTTATTGCGTTGTGCAAGGGATCTTCAGAGTTTATGGGAAATACATCTTATAAAGATATCTTATACCAAAATAGACTTTTAATTCCATTTTCTATGAAGTTTTGGAAGTACCTTTGTATAATAAGTCTTAGACAAGGCCAGGCTGTAAATACGAATCTGAGTAGCAAGTGTTGCTTCTCTTGGTGGGGAAGCTGATGTAGTATAATACTGGCACCAGTCTTATAACCTTGATTCTTTACAGCTCATGGGATTTTGATGTAAGGATCTAAAAGGTCATCTGGTTCAGCCATTGGCTCTTGTTTGGTGCTCTTGTTTCTCAGAATTATTTGAAGCAGTAGGGGAAAAAATTCAAATTTTATATCTGTTGTTGATATTTGTTGAAGTATATTAGTAAACCACTTATTAATAATTAACATTTTCATACCCCTTGCTTACAAATCTGGCAGAGTAGTTACTTAGACATTTGATGGTATTTTTTATTTTATTGAAATTGATAACCACTTTTTTTCTTTGGTAGATAGTCTTATTCAATAAGCTGTTTATTTTTCACAATTCTTTTTTTTTTTTTTTTTTTTTTAAGATTTATTTATTTGAGTTACACAGAGAGAGAAGGAGAGGCAGAGAGAGAGTCTTCCATCCACTGGTTCACTCCCTAATTGGCCGCAATGACCAGAGCTGCACTGATCTGAAGCCAGGAGCCAGGAGCTTCCTCCAGGTCTCCCATGTGGGTGCAGGGGCCTGAGGGCTTAAACCCATCTTCTACTGCTTTCCCAGGCCTTAGCAGAGAGTTGAATCAGAAGTGAAGCAGCCGAGACTCGAACCGGCACCCACATGGGATGCCCGCACTGCAAATGGTGGCTTTAACTGCTATGCCACCGCACCAGCCCCCACAATCCTTTTTTTAAAAGGTTATTTATTTGAAAGAGTGACAGAGAAGGAGAGGCAGAAAGAGATCTCTTTGCTGGTTCACTCCCCAAATGTCTTCAATGGCTGGGGCTGGGCCAGTCTCAAGCCAGGAACCCAGAACTACATTCTGATCTCCCATGTGGGTGGTAGGGAACCAGATACATGAGCCATCAGCTGTTTTCCCAGGCACATTATCAGGGAGCTAGATCAGAAAGAGTAGCTTTCTGGACTTGAACCACCTCTCTTGATTTTGGATTGCTGGTGTCACAAGCAGCGGCTCAGCCCACTGAACCACAGTGATGGCTTATTTTTCATAACTCTTTTGTACCATCTTGTGCTTTGTTAAGTGTGAGCAAAGATATAATTTGTTTCTTGCCTTTTTATTTTGTGAAATAGCGGATTTTGGTTTTGCTCGTTACCTGCATAGCAACATGATGGCTGCAACACTGTGTGGATCTCCAATGTATATGGTGAGTGAGTGAGTGCATCCTTGTGTATTTAAAGCGTGGCATTAGAAACACTGGAATTTAAGTACAGTGGTCCCTCTTATCTGCAGGTCATGTGTTCCGGGACTTACAGGGCATGCCTGAAACTGTGGATTGTACTAAGCCCTGTATATCCTAAGTTTTTCCTGTAAGCACTGCCAGCATTGCTACATAGTGCCTGAATTAATATGTCCTTCCATGTTTTATACCCTAGTGCCTCCTTTGCATCATTACGCATGATTTTTGTTGGTACTGAAGTAAAATGAGGGTTATTTGAACATAAGCATTGTAATACTGAAACAGTTGATCTGGTAACTGAAAACGCTACTGAGTAGCTTCAGGTGGGTAGAGTGTATGGTGTAGATAGATTTTACCATGCTATTCAGAATGATGCGCAGTTTTAAGACTTAGGAATTTTCCTTTAATATTTTTAAATTATAGTTTATTGTGGACAACTGAAACTGCAGAAAATGAAACTGCAGATAAGATGGGACTACTGTATAATTCTTGTTTCCAAGTAAGGTGGTTTTATATAGTCTATGTTTATATTACTAACGTTAATTATATTAGTGATAATGCTATATACAGCATCATACATTGGTAGAGTAGGCTGTAAAATCAAGTCTAAGTCACGTTTGCTTATTTTAATTTTTTTAAATGATTAGTTATAGAAATCTATTAGCTTCAACTGAATATAAAAATTAATGAAGTTTTGTCAGGCTTACTTGATGCATCATGTTAGGGAGTTATTTAAAAAACGCCTTTTGGGGCACCTCTTCATCTGTAGGAAATGCTCATCTTGTGTGTTGCCTGTCTTAGCAAGATCCTATGGTGATTTTCTTACATGTCTTTACACTTAAAGCCAAAAAAATTTTAGCTTTCCTCTGTATCTTTTCACATAAATTTATCTTTTCACATAAATTTCACATAAATTTGTCTGATAGAATTGGGCTATTAAACTTTTGAACTAGTATGAAGTATTAAGCCTGGAAGTACATAATTCTGGAATTTCAGAGGAATACCTATTTCACTTCTTAGTTTAAAATGAGTTTATGTTAGGAAGTCCATTAAAAAAATCAACTTTGAGGTTTAATGAAACTAGTAAAGATTTAAAAAAAGTTTTTACACTAGATTTACTTCCTTGATCATAGTTTTACTGTTTATGTGGTTCATATTTTATAATTTAATTTTTAGTTTGCATTTTTTCTTGATTATGAGTTCAGTCTTGTAGAGTGTTTTGGCTGATTATTAAAGGAAGGTGACTCAGTAAGAAATTTACTAGAGACAGTAAATAAAAAGTGTTGCTTAGGAAATAAAATTCCACTATCTTTAAGTATATCTGACATTTCTATTTAATGTTTTTCCCAATTGGTGATATATTTTAAAAAAAGCAGCATTTGATGAGAAGCCTGAAAATACCTTTAACAAAGCAGCAAAGAAATGCCTTTACTTTTAGGATCATTTATTAAAAATTTTGTTGTTGTTCATTCATTTGAGGGACAGAGCTGCCATCCCTGGCTCTCTTCCTGATTGCCTGCAAGGGAAGGTGGGGTGGGTTGAAGTCAGGAGCCTAGAATAAGATCCAGGACTTTCAAGGAACTCAGTTACTTGTGCCACCCCGCTGCCTCCCAGGGGGTGAGTCAGGAACCCGAGCCAGGAATCTGCACGGCTTCCCCAGGGTGGAATAGAGGGCGTCTTGAGCACTAAGCTGAAGGCCTACCTCTCTATTGTTATCTTAATTCTCTTACTGTACTTTGTTTCCATAATGATATATAGAAACATTTGTGTCTACAACTTGTAACATAAATACAGAACTGTTTTTGATATTTTTAAATAAATCTCAATATAATAATGTAGTTCTAAGTTCATTGCAGTGTCATTTGTTTACAGAAATATCACAGTCTGTTAGTGTGTGTAACTTTATTAAGAGTTTGCCCTTTTCTAGTTAATTAGCATGTGTAGAGTAAGTCCAGATAACATGGCTTGTGTCTCTTGAATTTTTCTCTGCCTAGGCTCCTGAGGTTATTATGTCTCAACATTATGATGCCAAGGCAGACCTGTGGAGCATAGGAACGGTGATATATCAATGCCTAGTTGGAAAACCACCTTTTCAGGTAGGCTTTGTTCTTACAGCTTCACTTTTGGGATCTTATTTTACAATTGCCATTCGCTTATAAAATGAAAAGTACTCTGAAAGGAGTGTTTTTGGTTGCTTTGTCACTTACTTTGATTTTGTTAACGGCTAAAGCTGCTATGGTGAGCCAGAACACCTTTTTGCTTTTCCTCTTTTATCTGTCTGCACTTTGTAGGTGGACTGGCCATGAAACCTGTTGCAGGCTAACAAAGAAAACCAGGCAGAGTCAGGACTGATAGCTAGGGGGTCATATGCATGAATGATGACACCAGTGCTTCCTGCTTAACCTGGTTTTGGAGTCCTGGAATCCGTGTCAGGGCTGGGGTGGTTGGAGAGATCATGGGAAACTGTCTCCAGGTCTCAATTCCTGACACTGTTCAGTGAGAAGGGAGGAATTGTTGAGACTCCATGGAAATTATTTTGTTCTCTCCTAATATCTTGTCAAGAAGTGGCCCTCTGTTAAGAGTATGATCATAATGATTTCATATTGCCATGTTATAATTTCTTAGTTGCAAAGATTTTTGAATCTGATAACTGGAACAAAGTGGAATTATTTACCCAAGATAATCTGAAAAATAGAGAAATACCCAGGTTTAACACTTTGAATTTCCTATTTTAGTTTGTATGTAGAAGCAGTTTCACTAGCTCAGCAGCAGTTGCCACAGGGTGATGTTTGTGGCCATGGGAAGACAAAATAGCAGCAGTTCACTTAGTTCTCTTCCTTGAATCCCTTGAAATGCCAAGTGATCCAGACTGTAAACATATTCTGGCCATGTAACCACCAGAGTAGTGATTCTTAATCTTTTCTGATTTTTAGGCGCTTCTGAGTGTGTAAAAAGTGCACACAATTACAGAGGTTTTGTAAGTTCCTAATGCGCAGCTATGGCTCCTTCAGTAGTCCATGGCTTTTAAGTTCAGAATCTATGTTCTATAGCAAGAATGTGGCGCCAGTCATGTGATTTGGAAGTTTTGCCCCTGTTGTTTAGGAAATTATTTTTTTTTTTTAAACAGGCCAATAGTCCTCAAGATTTAAGGATGTTTTATGAGAAGAACAGGAGCTTAATGCCTAGGTATGTGTTTAGATTACACTGAATTTTACTATTTGGGAACATGGTGTTTTTATTTGGACTCTGTGTTTTATCTGTTTCTGTTGTTGATGCTTTTTTCACTTGACAGAAATGTGATTGTGTTTTTTATAACCACAAATCACAAAGTTACCAGCACATCATGGGTACTGTACCTTATTCCTTATCTTTTGAAATATGAAGCAATTTAAAAGAAAAATATTACAAAAGTTACATGTGTTCCTTATGGAGTGGGAGATGTGAAGAGAGTAGATATGCATAACATAGAAAGTAAATTCTCCCTTAGGCTTTGTCATACTCCATAAGGATAGTAAGAATTTGTTCTGTATCTTTACAGGTCTTTTTTATTGGAGCTCTTTATACATGTTTGAGTGTTCATTTATGGACGTATTTTTGAAAAATATTTATTTATTTGAAAGGCAGAGTTACAGAGAGGGAGAGGCAGAGGCAGAGAGAGAGAAGTCTTCCATTTGCTGGTTCACTCCCCAAATGGTCCCAGTGGCCAGGGCTGGGCCAGACTGAAACCAGGAGCCAGGAGCTTCATCTGGGTCTCCCACACGGATGCAGGGGCCCAAGGACTTGGGCCATCTTCCACGGCTTTCCCAGGTGCATTAGCAGGGAGTTGGATCAGGAGTGGAGCAGCCTGGACATGAACTGGTGCCTATATGGGATGCTGGCACTGCAGGAAGTGACTTAACCTGCTACACCACAGTGCCAACCCTAACGTACATATTTATGCATATATATATTTAAGACAAATTACATCATGCTTTATGAATTGTTCTCCAACTTTTACTCTGTTAGTATATCTTAAATGTTCAATTTCAGTATGTAGAGAGTTAACTGCAATCTTTTGAATGTCTACATAGAATCCCTTAATTAGATGTACCATACGGTATTTAATCAGATCCCTATTTTCATTTTTTGGCTTCTACAAACAGGTTAAAGTGAAATATATGTGCACTTTTGTGCATGTGTGAATTTCTTTAGGGTAGACTCCTAGAAATGGAATTATTGGGCTGAACAGCAGACTCTGCAGATAGGCTCTCCCAATTACTATAGCAATACAAGAGAATGTTCCTTTCCTCACTTTTAAAAAAAAAATTTTTACTTATTTGTAAGGCAGAGTTACAGAGGAAAAGGGAGAGAGGGAGTCTTTTATCTGCTGGCTCATTCCCTAAATTGCTGCAACGTTCAGGCTGCAGCCAGGAGCTTCCCTTTGGTCCTCTCTATGGGTGCAGGAGCCAGATACTGGGCCATCTTTTGCTGCTTTCCCAGGCCATTAGTAGGGAGCTGGATTGGAAATGCAGCTGCAGGACACGAACCAGTTTATGCTGCTTCTCAAAGGCAGTTGTTTAGTGTTTTTTTCCCTCATCTTTGAGGTCTGAGGCTTTACCATGCTGCTCTTGTTATAAATGTGGTATCTGTGAAACTGCATGTATATTTTTCCTTTATCATAACAAGGCAAAAGTAATGTAATTAATAAATATAAACCCATGGAGCCAGTGCTGTGGTGCAGCGGGTTAAAGCCCTGGCCTGAAGTGCTGGCATCCCATATGGATACCGGTTTGAGTCCCGGCCATTCCACTTCTGATCCAGCTCTCTGTTATGGCCTGGGAAAGCAGTAGAAGATAGCCCAAGTTCTTGGGCCCCTGCACCCGCGTGGGAAACCCGGAGGAAGCTCCTGGCTTCGGAGCAGCACAGCTCCGACTGTTATGGCCAACTGGAGAGTGACCCATCAGATGAAGACCTCTCTCTCTCTCTGTCTTTCTGTCTCTCCTCTTTCCATGTAACTCTGACTTTCAAATAAATAAATAAAATAAATCTTTTAAAAAAATATGAACTCACTATTTTTTTTTCCCTTTCCCTCAGTATTCCCAGAGAAACATCACCTTACTTGACTAATCTCCTTTTGGGTTTACTTCAGAGAAACCAGAAAGATAGGATGGACTTTGGTAAGTAATGACTTCAAATTTTCATGGTTTCTAATTATTTTTGATTCCCAAAGGATTTTTAAAAAGATACTGTAGAGGGAATAGTACTTAGCCTGGCCGGCGCCGCGGCTCACTAGGCTAATCCTCCGCCTTGCGGCGCCGGCACACCGGGTTCTAGTCCCGGTCTTGGCGCCGGATTCTGTCCCAGTTGCCCCTCTTTCAGGCCAGCTCTCTGCTGTGGCCAGGGAGTGCAGTGGAGGATGGCCCAAGTACTTGGGCCCTGCACCCCATGGGAGACCAGGATAAATACCTGGCTCCTGCCATCAGATCAGCGGGGTGCGCTGGCTGCAGCGCGCCGGCCGCGGCGGCCATTGGAGGGTGAACCAACGGCAAAGGAAGACCTTTCTCTCTGTCTCTCTCTCTCACTGTCCACTTTGCCTGTCAAAAAAAAAGTAGTACTTAGCCTGGTGATTATGACACCTGCATCCCACAGTGGTGTGCTTGGATTTGAGTCCTGGCTCTGACTTCTGATAACAGATTCCTGCCAGTATAGACCCAGGAAGGCAGCAGTGTTGGCTCAAGTAATAGGATTCCTGCCACCCATGTGGGAGACTTAGGTTGCATTTCTGACTGCAGTCCAGCCCTAGCCATGGTGGGCATTTGGGGAGCAAACCAGTAGATGGGAGCTCTCTTCGTGTGTTTGTCTATATCACTCTCTCCTTGCAGATAAATAAAATATGATTATTTTTAAAGATTTATTTATTTATTTGAAAGAGTTACAGAAAAGCAGAGGCAAAGAGAGAGAGAGATCACTCTTCCATCCACTGGGTCACTCTTCAAATGGCTACAACAGCCAGAGCTGAGCCAATCTGAAGCCAGGAGCCAGGAGCTTCTTCCAGGTCTCCCACATGGGTGCAGGGGCCCAAGCTCTAGGGCCATTCTGCACTGCTTTTCCAGGAGCATTAGCAGAGAGCTGGATCTGAAGTGGAGCATCTGGGACTCAAACTTATGCCCATATGGGATGCTGGTTCTTTAACCTTCTGTTCCACAGTGCCGGCCCTGGTCTAATGTTTTAGTTTGCAATTGCTCTCTAGAGAGAATGAGAGCGAGTGAAATCTTCCATTTGTTTGCTCACTCCCCAAATGCCCATGATAGCTGGAGGTGAGCCAGGCTGAAGCCAGGACCCTGGAACTGTCTGGGTCTCTGATTCGGGTGTTAGGGACCTAAGTACTGGAGCCATCACCTGCTGCCTCCCAGAGTGCACAGTAGCAGGAAGCTGGAATGTGACAGTGGAGCTGGGACTGAAACCCACAGGCTGGATACATCAATGTTTACTGATGTATGGAATGTGGGTGTGAGAAAGAGAAGACAAAAGTACTCCAAGATTTGTGTCTGAGCAACTGAAAGGATGGGGTTGTAATTTATGGAGATTGCAATGATCATGTGGATGGAACAGGCTATGGGGACAATTAGGGGAATTTAGGTAGGGCATGGTAAGTTTAAGATAACCATTTGATATCCAAATGTGTATATTAAAAGAGCACTTGAATTTCAGAGGAGATATCTAGGCTGGGTGTATATTTTGGAATTGTCAGCTTCTGGGTGATATTTATTAAATTATTTTATAGTGTAATATTTACATCCTTTATTGATTGTTCTATTTAAAAATTCTTTAGTTATTTTCTTAATGGTTGCTCTACAATGTGCTTCTTAACTTACACAAACTACTTCATAATAATATTAGTTAAATTCCAGGACCATACAGAAACTTTGCCCATCTAATATAGCTCTGTTCCCTTCTGTCTTTGTGTTCTTATTGTCATATGTATTATGGCTATGTTATAGTCTCATAGATGCAGTGTTGTAGCTATTGCTTTGTATGTGTTTATATCTTTTAAGGAAGGTAGAAGAAGGAGAAAAAAATTTAGAGTCTTATATTAACCTGTATAGTTATCATTTCTGATACTCTTCAGTTCTTGTGACCAAGGTACTGTTTAGTGTCATTTTTTTGGCTCCAATATGGATGCCATTCCTTCTGCCTTTATGTTATCATTGTCATATATATTGGTCTTTATATGTTATAAGCCCAGCAGTACAATTTTACAGATATTATTTTATCATTTTATCTAATTTCTTTTAAGTCAGAGGAAGAAAAGAGATAAATGTAGGATATACAGATGGTCTCCAACTTAAAATGGTTTAACTTATTTAGAGTAATGTGAAGTACACCATGCAACTCTTCTGCTTTTCACTTTCAGACGAATATTAAAAAATTATGGGATACATTTAATACTTTATTACAAAGTATAGGCTTTTGTTAAAAGCTTTTGCTCAATTGTAGGCTAATATAAGTATTCTGAATATATTTAAGGGGGTTTAGGCTAAGCTGTGGTGTTTGGTGGCCTACGTGTATTTAAATGGTGTGTGTGTGTGTGTGTGTTTAAGATTTACACAGAGTTGCACAGAGAGTGAAGGAGAAGCAGAGAGAGAGAGGTCTTCCATCTGCCAGTTCACTCTGCTCTGCAATTGGCTGCACCGGCTGGAGCTGTGCTGATCCAAAGCCAGGAGCCAGGAGCCTCCCCTAGGTCTCCCACACAAGTGCAGGGGCCCAAGGACTTGGGGCATCCTCTACTGCTTTCCCAGACCATAGCAGAGAACTAGACCAGAAGTGGAGCAGCTGGGACCCATATGCTGGCGCCCAAATGGGATGCTGGCACTGCAGGCAGCGGCTTTACCCACTATGACACAGCACTGGCCCCTAAATGGTTTTTTAATCTCTGTTCCTTTCTCTGTCTCTTCATTGTCAAGGATTCCCACAATGCATATTTTGGTCCACTTGATGTCCTCATTGTTGCTTAGGCACTGTCACTTTTCTTTAATATCTTTTTTCTGTTCCTCATTTTTATTGTCTTCTATTCATATTTGCTGATTATTTTTTCTGTTTCCTCATGTCTGCCTTTGAATTCCTCTAGTGAATTTTCATTTTAGTTACTGTACTTTGTAGCTCCACAGTTCCCTTTTAGATTTTCTTTAAAAAAAAATTTATTTATTTGAAAGAGTTATACAGAGAAAGGAGAGGCAGAGAGAGAGAAAGGTCTTCCATCCACTGGTTCACTCCCCAATTGGCTGCAACAGCTGGAGCTGTTCCAGTCTGAAGCCAGGAGCTTCTTCTGGGTCTCCCAATCCAGTGCAGGAGCCCAAGCACTTGGGCCATCTTCTACTGCTTTCCCAGGCCATAGCAGAGAGCTGGATCTGAAGTGGAGCAGCTGGGACTCGAACCGGTGCCCATATGGATGCTGGCACTGCAGGCGGCAGCTTTTCCCACTATGCCACAGCGCCAGCCCCTAGATTTTCTATCACTATTGATATAACCATTTTTTAAAATATAATTTTTTGACTTTATCTAGATCTTCTTTTCATTCTTTGAGCATCCTCAAGACACTTATTTAAAGTCCATCTAGGGGGGCTGGTGCTGTGGTGTAGTCGGTAAAGCAGCCGCCTGCAGTGCTGGCATCCCATATGGGTGCCAGTTTGAGTCCCGGCTGCTGTACTTCCTATCCAGCCCTCTGCTATGGTCTGGGAAAGCAGTAGAAGATGGCCCAGGTCCTTGGGCCCCACGTGGGAGACCTGGAGGAAGCTCCTGGCTCCTGACTTTGGATCGGCTCAGCTCCAGCCATTGCGGCCATTTGGGGAGTGAACCATCGATGGAAGACCTCTCTCTCTTGCTCTCTCTCTGCCTCTCCTTCTCTCTCTGTGTAACTGTAATTTTCTAGTAAAATAAATAATTTTTTTATAAAAGTCCATCTAGGGGCCAGCATTGTGACGTAGTGGGCTTGTGTAGCTGGCATTTCATAGTGGAGCGCTGGTTTGAGGTTTGGTTGCTATACTTTGGCTTCAGCCCCTGCTGATTTGCCTGTGAAAGCAGAAGATGTTCCATGTATTTGGGCTCTTGCCACTCCTGTGGCTTTAGCCTGGCCCAGCTCCAGCTGTTATGGCCATTTGGGAAGTGAACCAGGAGATGGAAGGTCTTGAGCTCATCTCTCTTCTCTCTGTCAGGATTTCACATAAATAAAATAAATCTAAAAAAATAGTCTTTCTTGAGTAGGTCTGCCTTCAAGTTTTTTTAGGCACAGTTTCTCCATAGGCTATATTTTCCTCTTATTTAATTGAAAGGCAGAGTTATAGGGGCTGGCACTGTGGTATAGTAGGCTAAGCCTTCACTGGGGGCACTGACATTCCATATGGGTGCCGGTTCATGTCTGCTGTTCCTTTTCCAATCTAGCTTTTTGCTATGGCCCGGGAAAACAGTAGAAGATGAACCTGCACCCCCATGGGAGACCTGGCAGAAGCTGCTGGCCAGCTGTTGAGGCCATTTGTGGAGTGAACCAGCAGATGGAAGATCTCTGTCTTTCCTCCTCTCTTTAACTCTACCTCTCAAATTAATAAATAAATCTTTTTTTTTTTTTTTTTTTTTTTTTTTTTAAGGAAAAGAAAGGCAGTTATAGAGAGGAAGAGACAGAGAGATTTTCCATCTGCTGGTTCACTCCCCAAATGGCTGCAACAGCTGGGGCTGAGCTGGGCTGAAGGCAAGAACCAGGAGCCTCCTCCAGGTCTCTCATGTGAGTGCAGAGGCCCGAGCACCTAGGCCATCTTCCACTGCTTTCCCAGGCCCAGTATCAGGAAAATTGATCAGAGGTGGAGCAGCTGGGACACTAACTAGCGCTCATATGGGATGCCAACATAGCAGGTGGCCGCTTAACCCACTGTGCTTCAATGCCTCCTCTATATTTTCCTCCTTATTTGGGTGCATTGTGATTTTGGATTAAAAAACTGGACAGTGCACATCTAATAATGTGGTAGTTTTAGAAATCATATTCTTGCCCTTTCCCAGAGTTTTTTGTTACTATTTCTGTTTCTTTGATTGTTATAGACTGTCTCTGTGCCAAGGAACAGTCTCGAGAGAAAAGGTCTTTGGGAGTCTTTCCTGAGCCTATGCATTTTCCTGGGCGTGGACAGCCACTTTGTGATTTTTACTGTACATACAGCTGCTTTTGTGTGTTCTAGTCTTGCCTGGCTACTGTAAAGGAAAAATGAAAGAAATGAAGAGTAGGAAACATTTGGTTTATACTGGTTAAGATGGCAGCGTCCCATATTGGAATACCTGGGTTGGAGTCCTGGGTCCTGAATTCAGCTTTCTGCTAAAACAGAACCTGGGAGGCAGTGGTGATGACTCAACTAATTGGATCCCTGCCTCCCAAATGGGAGACCTGGATTGTGTTCTCAGTTCCCTGCAGCTTTTACTTGACCCACCCTTGGCCATGGCAGGCATTTAGGGAGTGAGCCAATGAATGGGTGAATGGGAGCACTCTGTTTTTCTGTTTCTTTCTGCCTTTTTGTCTCTGAAGATTAAAGAAAAAAAAGTGAAGTAGATCTTTAAATCCCTGGTAGTCACTTCAGCTGGATGGAGGGCCTTGCAACAGTAGCCACCCACCTCTTCGTACCTATGTGATCAGAAGTAGGTTACACCTTTGCCTGCAGTGCCGGCATCCCACATGGGAGCCAGTTTGTGTCCTGGCTGCTCCACTTCCAATCCAGCTCTCTGCTTTGGCCTGGGAAAGCAGTGGAAGATGGCCCAAGTGCTTGGGCCCATGTACCCACGTGGGGGACCTGGAAGAAGCTCCTGGCTCCTGGCTTTGGATCAGCTCAGCTCTAGCCGTCGCGGCTACTGGGGAGTGAACCAGCAGATGGAAGATCTTTCTATCTCTCCCTTCTCCCTGTAACTCTGCCTCTCAAATAATAAATAAATTTTTTTAAAGTAGCAATTAACAGTCAAAGTACATATGCCCAGTAAACAGGACAAAGTCCTTTGTGCTCACCGTGGCTCCTGCAAAGCTTGTATGCTTCAGGAAGAAATGCGCAGCTGCCCGCCGTAGCATTGGGTGGCTGCCACTGTGCTAAGGCCTGAAATGTATAGAAATTAACTGTAGTTGGCCTTCCAGCCTTCCTTTAGATGTTGCAAGCCTTTGGTACACTCCAGAGTTCCAAAATAGTGGCATCATGCAGAGTCTGCCAGTGCTATTTTTAGTCTGTAGAGGGGGAGCTAGGTTCCTGGTGCTTCATCCTCTGCCATCTTCCTAGAATACTTATATTTATTTCTTGTTTATAATGTACTTCATCATTTTGATAAATTTTCTTTCTTTACAGTATTATACTTAGGTAAATGAAGGGAAACAAGAAAATACCTTTATTAGAATGAAAGATATTTCTTAAACCACTATGAAGTCGGAAAGTCACCTTTCTCAGATAGTGTTAGGTTTCTGTAAGGCATTTGCTTTTTTTTTTTTTTTTTAATTTACATTTTTTTTTTATTTGAAAGGCAGAGTAACAGAGACGGGGAGTTGAGAGCAAGAGGGATCTTCCATCTACTGGCTCACTCCCCAGACGGCTGCAACTGCTGGGGCTGAACTCCCACATGGGTAGCAGGGGCCCAGTACTTGGGCTGTCTTCTGCTTTCCTGTGGGGAGCAGCTCAGACTAGACTAAGTTACTGGAATTAAGACTTATTCTATGCATCTGCTCTCCTCTGTGGGGAGCAGCTCGGACTAGACTAAGTTACTGGAATTAAGACTTATTCTATGCATCTGCTCTCCTACAATATGGCGCTGGGAGAGGAGAAAACAGCTTCTACCCAGCTGCCTCCAGTTCAACCAATAAACTGTAGGACTTGCTCCTGATTGGAGAGCAGCGTACTCGGCGTGTGGGCAGCCGAGTTAGGATTGGCGGAGGAGGACTATAAAGGAGGAGAGAGACGGCACGCACCAGGAACACCTATGGGGAACATCTAAGGGGAACATGTAGCTGAAGGAACACCTGTGCAGCCCCCGAGAAAAGCCGGCCGGCGGTGTGCCGCTCCCCTGCGGAAGTGGGGAATGCGGCCAGGGGGAACTGCCCTTCCACGGAGGTGGAAGGGACGGTAGCCAACCCGGGAAGAACCAGCAGCAAACCCGGGGAGGGCCGAGCAGACGAAAGAACAGCGCAGGGTCCTGTGTCGTTCCTCCACGAAGAGGGGGAGCGACACTTTCCCAGGTGCATTAGCAGGGCGTTGGATCAGAAGTGGAGCAGCTGGGACTCGAACTGGCACAATGCTCTGATATGTGATGCTGGCGTCACAGGCAGCTTGCCTAACCTATGCCATAATGATGGCCCCCATTTACTCTTCTTGGATTTTAGTATTAGAAAGATCTACACCAGTCCAAGAAAGTACCACTAGTGATACTGATGTCCTGGAAGGTGACTTTTTGTGCTGTGCTTAGGAATAAGAAAAAACTGGGGGGGAGGGGGGAAAACTGGGTAGTTTGCCAACGTCCAGATTCCTGAATGCCTTTGCAGAGAAAGTTCTCAGATACTTAAGCTGCATTCCAGGTATTTTCAGTTCTTTGACCATTAAAAGATTTGGGAAGGAGGAAAAAAGAACACTGCAGACTCCTGTAGAAAGACTTTGGCCTCCAAGATGGGCTTTCAGGAAGAGGCAGCTTTGTGTGTGGTGACCCTTTGTGAATACACGCTCTGTGGCAGCTCAGCTGTCAGCAGGCTGCTCTCCCAAGCACAGTGCCTTGCACAGCCTACAGTAGCAGATGCAGCTTTCTTAGAGTTTTTGATTTTTAAGATGGGTCCTTGATTTGGGGCTCTCTTCTATAAGTATAAAGCTAAGAGTTTCCCTCTAAGCACTTTAACTTATCATAGTTTCCCTTCAAATGATGTTTTACCACTTCACATGAAGTGAAAGAACTTGGGACACATTTTTAGGGTTTATGTGATTCTTGAAGGTTTTGAAAAAACATTTATCCCCAAACTTGTTATAGTTTCAATTCCTCTTTGAGGAAAAATTCTCTGACTTGTTCTTATCCATCTTATGTAGACAATTAAAAATTATTCTTTCCAGGGCTGGTGTTGCGGTTTAAGACAGTGCCTGTGAAGCTGCTATCCTATATGTGCACCAGTTCAAGTCCAGGCCTCTCCTTTTCTTTTCTTTCTTTCTTTTTTTTTTTTTTTTTAATTTATTTGACAGGTAGAGTTATAGACAGTGAGGGAGAAAGCCAGAGAGAAAGGTCTTCCTTCCATTGATTCACTCCCCAAATGGTCTCCAAGGCCGGTGCTGTGCCAATCTGAAGCCAGGAGCCAGGTGCTTCCTCCTGGTCTCCCATGCAGGTGCAGGGCCCAAGCACTTGGGCCATCATCCACTGCACTCCTGGGCCACAGCAGAGAACTGGACAGGAAGAGGAGCAACCGTGACTAGAACCCAGCGCCCATATGGGATGCTGGCTCTGCAGGCGGAGGATTAACCAAGTGAGCCACAGTGCCAGCCCCTCAGGCCGCTCCATTTCAAATCCAGCTCTCAGCTAATGCTTCTGAGAAAGCAACGGAAATGGCCAAAGTACTTGGGCTCCTGCCATCCACATGGGAGACATAGATGGAGTTCCAGGCTTCTGGTTTTGGTCTGGCTCATTCCTTGTCATTGGGGCCGTTTGGAGAGTGAACCAGTGGATAGAAGATTCATATTCATTCTCTCTCCCTCTCACTCCCTCTCACTCTCCCCTCCCTCCCTCTCCCCTTCTTCTCTGTAAATCTGCCTTTCAAGTCTTTTTTTTTTTTTTTAAAGATTGTTCTTCTTAGTCTTAATCCCATCAGTCATAGGTATATGTTGGTAAATACTTTTATCTTTCAGAGGAGAAATTAAACTGATGGTTGCTCTGAACCATGAGAAATATTGTTCAATAGTGAAGCAACATATTCATGGATAATAGTTTTAATTAAAGATTGTATGAAAAATTTGCATACTTTCAATGGAATAATAAATGGCTTGAAAAGTGGTTTTGTTGTTGGCATTCAGCCTACGTTATTTATATCTATTTCATTCCCGTTATATCTTGTGAAAATCTTAAATGTCAAATTGGAATTTATGAGTTTGTGTAGGTGTATAAATTTTTGTTCTAAAAAATACCTAAGGTAGAAAGTTCATGTTTCTCTTTAAAACCTTTCATGTTGGTATTCTGTAGCAAGGGTTATGATTGACATTTGCTCTAAGAGGCTTTGGGTATTTCAGTAAAACTCATGAGATCTTTTAGAGTAGAAGATAATTTATACTAAATAGAATTAAGCTTATTCTTGATCTTGCTTAAATCTCTCCATGTTAGGACTGTGCTATTCTCCTTGCACAGATAGTCACATACACAATTACTGTAAAAGTCTGAGATACAATGATAAAGGAGATTTTAAAAGTTTTTTTATGTTTTTAAAAGAAATAATGAAATACTTTAAACACACAGGAAAGTGAAGTAAATAATAAATTTCCATTTATACCTGCTTGTTTATCTTTTCTTAGCAGGCCTGTTGTGCAGGTTTTAACCTTGGTGAACAGTTAAAGAAATGAAATAATAGTTTTTCCAAAAAAATGTAAAGCCAGCTATAGGAGTATGTTTCTGGGCTGCAAGGAGAGTATTCATTTTACAAATAAGCTTCCTTGGTTTCCTCTTAGGACAATTAACAATCGCCATATTTCATAGACTTATGTGGTCAGCAAGGGCAAGGTGATGGCAGTGAACACATCTTCCAGAGTAGCCTCTGATCGGGTATCCCGGGTTGGTAATGAATGGTTTGAGAACTCACACTTAAATTATTTTACTAAGAATTATAATCACTTTTTGTATTATAAAAATAATGCACTTTTACATTTAAAGGAAATGGAAGCTATATAAAGAAGTTAATTATTTATGATCTAAGACATGTTGACTACATTGAGGAGATTATCCACAAGTCAATGGCTGTTTAAATATTGTATTCTGATTTTTCATTACAGAAGCATTTTTTAGCCATCCTTTTCTTGAGCAAGTTCCAGTAAAAAAATGTGAGTACTCGGTGTTTTTGCATTTTTACTTGAATCAGTGCAGACAATAAGTGCACTTTGTTGTGCATCTCAAGATTTCATTGAGATTCTCTTACATACCTGTAATTGGGCTTATTTAATGACAATTCTGTTTTTCCTTTCAAATCCAAGTTGAAAATTTCAGTGATTGCTTCATTTTTAGTTTGATCCATAGAAGCTATAATAAGTAGGTAAATACAAAATTGTGATCAGCACCAAGGTGTAGTGGTTTTGATGGGCTTTTCTATTAGGTCATGTAACTGCACTTCAAAGAAGAGACGGAGCTCTTTGTCGGTTTCTTCCCCCAGCTTGCCCAGTTCCAGTGCCTCTGTATGCTGGCTCTGTTTCCGGAAGCTCCTGTGGCAGCTCTCCATCTTGTCGTTTTGCCTCTCCACCAGTAAGTTCTGGTTTTATTAAAGAGATTTCGGATTTAGTGCTGCTGCATCTATTTACATACAGACATGCAAATATGTTGTGAATTATGCTTAGTGTAAAGTGTTTACAGTGAAACTGAGGTTCAGGAGAAAGCGTTACAGTTGGGTCAAATGGACCTCTGCCCTTACTTAGCTGTGTAAGCTTCAGCAAGAAATGTCACCTCTCTGGTCCATTTTCCTTTGAACAGTGAGTATGGTACTGCTATCTTTTTATGTTCTGTGAGATTTTGGGGATGGTACTTGAAAACAGAGTACCCATTACAGGTGGATAGGCAATATTTATTTTACCCATATATTATAAATGTCTGAGCCAGATTTTATTGGCTTGGTCTCACGTGATTGTAATTACTGTCCTCGCTTCCACTCAAACTTCTTCCTTCCCTCAAGTTACATTTCCTTCATGACCGTGTTCCTTCTCATTTAAGTGCTTCTTCCTGAACCTGAGAGCTTCTGGTAACTTCTTCCTACCCTACTCGCCCAGGGTTTTGTACGGACCCTCTCTCCAGTCTGTTGCAGCTCTGTGACCTTGAAGCTCTTTCACAAGCTGCTGGTGCTGGGCTCCTGTGGTAGGAGTTCTGTTTTCCACATTCTCCTGGCACATGTGCGTTTCTTAAATTCTGCTGGCTGAAGGTTGGGAGTCAGGAAGAGAGGCAGTTGTGTGATTAGCTGGTTGAGGCAATTCAGATTTAAGAGCATGGGGCTTGGGAGCTGTTACTTTCTTCACTAGTGACAATCTCTCTGAGCCAGTATCCTCATTTGTAAAGTAAATCTAATTTATCTACTTTGTGGGGTTCTTTAAGGATTAGTGAGCACACAGTAAGTACTCAGGTAGTAGCAGCTGCTATTATTATTTTCCAGGAAAACCTGATACCCATAGTCATAGCAGATGTGGAAACAGCCTCCTGCAAGCAGATGAGTCTTTACACTGGCAAAATACCACAAAAAACAAAAAACCCTTTCTTACACAGTTCTGCAAATTCAAACCAAATAGAAGAAGTGGTGTGTTAATAAGGCTTCTGTTATATTCTTGTCAATTTGAAAAATTAAGAGGAAAAATAACACTGTTTTTATTGTGTGAGTCTGGAATATTACAAAAAAATACCCCTGTGGATTTGGAGCTCACTGGGGAGAGACTTTATTTGGAGATTTGGAGTTAGGCAGACTGGGCTCAGTCCTGGCCCTCTGCTTGCCTGCTTAACTCTGAGAAGGTCAGTTAGAGTGCTGAATCAAGGGATCCTTATCTAGAACCTAGGCCTCATCACCCTTGGCTCCTGGGGTGTTGGTGCCTGGCTGCAGGTAAGTGCTCAATACATTGTAGCTGTTACTGTGAAGTTTACATTTTCACCATACATTGTGACACCTAGCCTGAAAAGCAAAGCTTGTGTCTCAGAAAGTAACCACAGGGAGGAACCTGATTATGGGAGAACAAGAATAAAGGATCCTGGAGGATGGTAGATGCCAAGGCCTCCAATCAGACCAGTGACAAGGATCAGAAAAAGAGAGCTCAGTAACGCATTGAACGGGAAATTTGCTTTGACTGACAGGCATGATGGGATTTTTATTGATTAGGTCAGCCCTGAAAGGAGAAAACAAAGCAAGAGCTAGCCTGGGGCTGCAAGGCAGAGCAGGAGAGAAGAGGGGTAAAGCAGGGGGAGGAGGAGCAGAGCAGGAGGGGGGAGGGGCAGGAGGGAATAGGGTGCCATATTTGGATGCTAAAACTTTGGTGGAAACCATTTTTAGGAGGCCTTTTTAAAAAAGCTAATATTTGAAGTGAAAATAAAAGGGAATTTAGGTGCATTTATCATCTCTAATTATTGAGATTAGAAAAAAGGATGGTTTGATAGAGCTTGTAGTTAAGACACTGCCAAAAGTGAGATGATTTTACCCGGACATCTTTGTTCTTAAGGCCGATACAGACTCTCATACTGAGAGTTGATATGGGCATGTAGTATAACGTTCTTTCTTTATGTTCTCCTGCACATGTAGTTGATTATTTATTTCAGAAGAATCTTTGAAACACAAAAATAAAAATATAATGAACAACAAAACTCCAGATCACTCCTTTTGTTTTGATACTATGAATCAAATGCTATTTAGGTGATAAAAATTTCTTTAGAATACCTATTATGTTTCATGACATTTGTTGAATGCCTGCTTTGTGTGAATTTTGGTTTATACTAATGAGTGACATGACCAGGCCACTCACTTAAGAGATTTTTAGTTTAATGGTGTGGACAAGAGGTGAGTAAACTTGATCACTATTAGAAGTGTCTGTGTCTTCAGAGATGTGGATAAGGGGCATCAGACCAAGGACTTAGGACTGTTGAGAGGAGAAGATTGAGCTGAGTTTTGAAGAGAGTTAACAAGAGGAATTAGTAAAAATGTGCTGTTGCAGACATAGGAATCCCTGCACGTGGGTAATAGAAGTTTGACCCACTGAAGGTACTCTTCTTATCCCCTGGAGACATTCACATTTAAATTTGCCTGAATTAATTTAAATTTAAAATTCGGTTCTTTGCTCACACTAGCCACATTTCAAGTGCTCAGTAGCTGCTACTGCTGGCTACCATATTAGACTGCTCAGATATAGAACATTTCTTCAATTGCAGAAAGGATCAGGCTGCTTTGGGTAGTTCAGTCTAGTGGAAGCAGAGAGCTCTGGCACTGTGGTGAGAGAAAAATAAAGCCAAGATTTGAGTGCTGAGCAAAAGAGTATAAACTGTATCCTTCAAGCAGTGGTTGGCCCTTAGAATGATTGTAAATGGAGAAGTGATGTGAGCCTGTGTGTTTTAGCTAGATTCTTCCAAAATAGCACCAGGGATTGCGTCTCTCTATTAGAGGAAAGAGAACAACCTGAGGTGGTTGCTATTATTACTATTATAGACTAAGCAGTAGAAAAAGAGGAGGGGCAAGGTAGAATGGAGGGAAAGAGTTTGAGTCTTAGAGGCCATTTGAACTTGGGACTTGAGGAGGGAGACCCTGCTGGTGGTTGAATGGTGACTGATGAAGTCGCTCAGTGAGAGAACATGGGAGCAAGGCTTTGGAGTAGAAAAGTGCTGAATTAATCAAGTTCAGGCTCAGCATTTTTTTTTAAGGTTTACTTATTTACTCAAAAGTCAGTTACACAGAGGAGAGGCAGAGAGAGAGAGAGAGAGAGAGAGAGGGAGAGGTCTTCCATCCGCTGGTTCACTCCCCAGATGGCTACAACGGCCAGAGCTGCGCCGATCTGAAGCCAGGAGCCAGGAGCTTCTTCCAGGTCTCCCACATGAGTGCAGGGGCCCAAGGACTTGGGCCATCTTCTGCTTTCCCAGGCCATAGCAGAGAGCTGGATCAGAAGAGGGGCATCCAGGACTAGAACTGGTGCCCATATAGGATGCTGGCACTTCAGCCAGGGCTTTAACCTGCACCACAGCGCTGGCCCCCAGGCACAGCATGTTGTCTGTACAAGTGAACACGGGTTTTGAGCTTGTTAGAAGGAACTAGCCTTGGGGTAAAAATTGAAGAGGACTGGTTACTGGACACATGGTTGTTAGAAGTAGAGTTAGAGTGGTCACTAGGGTAAGGATACAGAGTGGATGGCCCAGGGTGGCACCCAGGGGAATTCTGTACCCTCCATCTCCTCCTCTTCAAGGGGCAAGTGTGAAATTTGTACCCACAAAAGAGAATAGGAATGAAACCCCGGGAAGTAGAATGAAAAATAAGAGAGAATGGAGTCATTGGATGAAGGCAAAGATTGTCAAGACAGAATAATCCGTGGTGCTTATGTGGCAGAGAATGGAAGCCCCTGAGGGTGGAGGAAATGTCTGTTGGATGTGGTAGTTGGGAGTTGTTGGTGAGCTCAATAAAGGCCATTCTGGGGGCCACAGACCACCAGCCGCCTGCAGTGTCAGCATTCCATATAGGCACTGGTTCAAGTCCCAGCTGCTCCATTTCTGATCTAGTGCTCTGCTATGGCCTGGGAAAGCAATAGAAGATGGCCCAAGTCCTTGAGCCCCTGCACCTGCATGGGAGCCCTGAAAAGAAGCTCCTGGCTTTGGATCGGCGCAGCTCTGGCCATTGTGGCCATTTGAGAAGTGAACCAGTGGATGGAAGCCATCTCTCTCTCTCTCTCTCTCTCTCTCTCTCTCTCTGCTTCTCTGTAACTCTGCCTTTCAAATAAAATTAAGGAAAAGACATTCTGTTGAAGGATTGAAAGCAGAAAGAGGATTATGATGGGTTAAGTGGTCTACAGAAAGTGAGGATTGAGTCAATGAGGACTGATAATGTAGAAAATCAGTGTTAAGAAGTGAGAAGAGAGTGATCAGAGAGGGCTCTAGGGATTTCACATGAGAGAAAATGTAACCTGTTGATGGGCAGACAGGGTGGTGGGGGAAGCCACAGCAGGAGGAGAGGATGTGAGGGGAGTTTATTAGAGCCCTTGAGGAGGTGGGGGAGAAAAGACTGTAGAATGTCTCACTCAGATGAAAAAGGAGGACCAGGATGCAGATAGCTTTATAAGTAGCAGAGGAAGAAATTGAGAAAGCCCGTGCCTAAACAAAAGATATGGTGAAGTTAGATATTTGGAATCACATTTCAACTTGATTACTTTTTAATTTTGTGGGTTCTGGAAAATTACCTGACCATCTGAGTTTTGTCAGAGTAGGGCTGACACATGGGAAACTCTGAAAAGAGCCTAACCCATGGTTGATGCTCAGTCATGTTAGTCCTTCCATCTTCTATTCTCTTTATTACCTTTTTGAATAAAAATCTCTTCAAAAAGTGGCAAGATTTTGGGGGTGGGTGTTGTGGCATAGCAGAGTGAGCTACCACTTGAGATGCCTGCACATCATATCAGAGTCCTGGTTTGAATCCTGGCTTCTCCACTTCTGATTCAGTTTCCTGCTGATGCATCCTAGGAGGCAGCAGATAGCTCAAGGCTTGGGCCTCTGCCGCTCATGTGAGAGACCCGGATGGAGTTCTGGGCTCCTGGTGTTGGCCTGGCCCAGCCCTGGCTGTTGTGGGCATTTGAGGAATGAATCAGCAAGTGGAAGATCCCTCCCTCTGTCTCTGTCATTCTGCCTTTCAAGTAAATAAACACATATTTCAAAAAGTGTTTAAAAGTTTTATGTTATGTATGTGTCACACACGCTAGAGTAGAAAGGTGATTTGAGAGAGGATCAGCAGCAGTGAGTTAGGTATTTAAGACTTGAAGAGCATTATGTGGCAGTTTTCCTTTTCCTAAAAAAGCCAGTGATGCCACAGGGTGTTAGGGACTTAAACACAACAAATTGTGAAGTTAATTGTTTCAGAAAATCATTGTGTAATACTGCATTCCATTAGAGTTTTCACTAGAGTCCTTGAACTAGGCCAATACCAAAAGACACATAGCCAGTGACATACTCTTCTGTAACACGGATTGCCTATTTGTCTAAATATATTGTTTGCTTTTTTTTCTTTCCTATCCTCTCTCTCCCAAGCAAACCAATTCCATCCCCTAACAAAACAAAATCGAAAGGAACATATCTATACCTGTAAGGTTTTCTAAATCTTTCTGTGAGTGTAAATAACATTCTGAAGTTCGGGTAGCCTATTTGATTTTGTCTTCTCTTACACACAGATGGTCTTTTTGGTTTCCTGTTTGCAGTGTTTTCTTCATTGTCGATTTAAAACTTTTTTTATGTGTGTAGGATGTCATTAAAGTTTCTGGACATTTCCGATATTTAGTGTCTATTTTCTAGACCATGAGCTGAGGGAGGGGGACTGGGATGGTAAAAATGCAACCTTCCAGAATCTTGAGGAGAGGCAGAAATGTGCATATGATAGATGCTATGATGTAATTTAATGTGTCATTTTTGGAAAACATCTTGGAAGTATTTGTGAACATTTTTAAACTGTGCTTTTCTGAAGGAATGATTTTCCAAAGAGAATTTTTGAAATCTTTGATGGACCTGAACTTTATTCCCAGTTTTATGAAACAAAACATTCTTTAGTTGAGTGACTATTTGTACTTGCATTAGGCCAGTTTTAATTTTATTTTGTTAATTTTAGTCCCTTCCAGATATGCAGCATATTCAGGAAGAAAACTTATCTTCCCCACCATTGGGTCCTCCCAACTATCTACAAGTGTCCAAAGATTCTGCCAGTACTAGTAGCAAGAACTCTTCTTGTGACACGGATGACTTTGTTTTGGTTCCACACAACATCTCGTCAGACCACTCATGTGAGAATCTTTTCTACTTATACACATTATATTTGTTAATTTACTAAACTAGCACTTTTTAAAATTTTTTATATCACACTTTCTTGTGTAGGGCACCTTTTCAAATGGGCATTTTATTTAGTTTTAATTATCAGAATTTTACACCTACTTTCTGAAATCTGCTCAATCATGTTTTATTTAAAACAATAATTTTGCATTCTGAAGTTACATAAAAAGCTTTATTTGAAATAATCTCAAATTCTATTTGTATTCAAACAGAAAGAAAGAAAGAAGCTAACATGAACCTGGAATTAGGAGAGAAGCCAGAACTCAGTCCCAAGCACTGTGAAATGGAATGTGGCCATCTTAACTGCCATGCTAAATCCCCACCCTCCATTCACTTTTTGAAGCCCCTTGATATAATTTAATTTCAGCTTGATAAATCCGACAAAAATAGTTGAGAGATTTTGATGTAATCCCAGTGATTCTGTAGACTTATTCATATTCAGAGACAGTCAAGATCTCTAGTGTTAAATTGTCCAAACAAGATTGTTTCTCCATGTTTGTAGGACTTTTAAAAATGTGTCTCTATACATTTTTATATTTTTCTACATTAAAAGCACTCCTATCTTTTTGTTTTTATTCTAGTTACCTATGTGTTTTTGTGCTGCTGTAAATTTTTCAAAGTTGTTCCTATCCAGGTCTTTGTGCTGCCAAACCCCATGGTCAGTTCTCAGTCTTTGTCTTCTTGATGTCTCCATGGCATATGTTATAGTTGGCCACACTCTTTATTTTTAATTTCTAAAATGTTATTGTGAGTTATATCCTATATATAAGATATTTAAAACATCTGTAGAGTTTAAAAATAATATGTAACAAAGACCTCCTGAGACCCCTCCTGATTTTCTTATCTTTTTTGTCTGGTGTTCCATCTTTTGGTCTTATTGCTCTACTTTTAGGAGATTTCTGTGATGTTTTCTTGGTAATTTTTTCAAAGAACATAATTACAACATTGTGGGCTGGCTTTTGGCATAGTAGTTAAGATGCTCCTTGGAATGCCTGCATCACATATTGGAGTTCCTGAGTTCTAGTATTGGATACATTCCCATTCCAGCTTAGGAATAATGTGCTCCCTGGGAGATAGCAGGTGATAGCTCATAGCTGGGTCTCTGCCACACACAGAGGGGACCCTCATCAAGCTCCCAGCTCCTGGCTTCAAAGTGGCCTAGTTTCAGTTGTTGTGGGCATTTGGAGAATTAACCAGTAGATGGGAGATCTTTGTCTATCTGCCTTGTTTATTTTTTTCTGTCTTTCAAATAAATAAAATAAATAAATATTTGAAAAAATAGTCTATTAGGACCATTAATCAGTGTTGGCACTGTGGCATAGTGGGCTAAGCCTCCACCTGCAGTGCTGGCATATGGGATACCCGGCTGCTTCATTTCAGATCCAGCTGCCTGCTAATGCACCTGAGAAAGCAGTGAGGATGGCCCAAGTGCTTGGGCCCCTGCACCCATGTGGGAGACATGGAAGAAGCTTCTGGCTCCTGGCTTTGGATGGGCTCAACTCTAGTCATTGCTGCCAATTGGGTAGTGAAACAGCAGATAGAAGACCTCTCTCTCTCTCTGACTCTCCTTCTATTTCTGTGTAACTCTGACTTTCAAATAAATAAATAAATAAATCTTGAAAAAATTGTTGTAAAGTTAAAAAAGTATTTATTTGAAAGGCAGAGAGAAAAAGAGAGATCCAAGCAGTGTCTTCACTGCTGTTTCAAATGCCCACTTGGGCTTTATTTTTCTTTCTAGAACTGGGAGACACTTCATTCAATAAAATTGAATAAGTGTTCTAATGAGCCAAGCAGAGAGGTTTTTTTTGTTTTCTTTTTAAAAAGAAAAGGAGTTACACAGAAAGCGGAGAGGCAGAGAGAGAAAGAGAGATCTTCTATCTGCTGGTTTGCTCCCCAGTTGGCTGCAACGGCTGGAGCTGTACCAATCCAAAACTAGGAGCCAGGAGCTTCTTCCTGGTTTCCCACGTGGGTGCAAGGACTTGGGCCATCTTCTGCTTCCCAGGCCATAGCAGAGAGCTAGATTGGAAGTGGAGCAGCCAGGACTTGAACCAGCACCCATATGGGATGCTAGCACTGCAGGCGGTGGCTTTACCCGCTATGCCACAGTGCCGGCCCCAAGAAGGGTGTTTTTTTAAGAAAGAAAAAGCCTGAAGAAAGTCCAAACAGGTATCTAAAAGGGAATATCATTTCAAAGTTATTTTTCCTTATAAGGTGGGAATGAGGAGACAGAAAAATAGGAAAGCAATTGATTGGTTAACATCAGGTTATTTTAGGTTACTTTTTTGTGAAAGGATTAGGTAACTTCATTATAGTGCCAATTGAAACTGAACCATTTGGAAAATTTGTTCTCTCTCTAATGATTCTTGGAAAATAAGATGAGCAGTTTAGTTGCAGCTTGTTAATGTTAACAAGTGACTCCATTTTTTCTTAAGCCTGTTCTCTTGGAACCTGTTTAGTCTAAAACAGTGAACTCCTATATTTTTTGTTTAACTTTTTTCTATTGAGTTTTTCATTTATGCTGTCATGTTTTTAAATTTTCAGAGTTCTTTCTTTCCTTACTCTGAATATTGTTCTTATTTCAAGGTGCAATATTTTGTTTTGTTATATGATCATAATTAAAAATGAAGAATTTAAAAATTTTGTAAGTTCTGTATAGGTGGGGCTTATTGTCAATAAGCCTCTACACTAGGTTCTATGGGTGGGGCATTTATTTAGACTGTTTTCTTTTTGGAGGGCCACTCCAAAGAAGACTGATCAGGTCTTCTGCCTAAAGAGTATAACCTGGCACTGTTTTGAAGAAGTTTGGAGATCTCAGTAGTCAATGTAAGGTTTTACTTACTCTCCACCACCAGCCTTTTTTCACTGTTGGAGTACCCTCGCCATTCATTCTTAGTGTTCTACCATCTAGAGACCTTGTTTTCCTCTGTCCCGAATATAAACATCCATTGTTTAAAGATCCTCTCCTCAACTCTATGTAAACAGGACTGTCTGCATAGAATTGAGAAGAGGAAATGAAATACTGTCCTTTTAAAAAATTCTGTATTTTGAAAAATTTTATTGTATATACTTGAATATACAATAAAAGATACATATATAGTAACAAGATAAGTATATATAATAAAATGGCTACTATGGTGAAACTAATTCACATATCCATTGTCTCACATAGTTATCCATTTTTCCCCACGTGGCATGAGCAGCTATAATCTTATCTAGCAAAAGTCTTGAAGACAAGTACACAAATGGGATGAACATTATGGTGCAGCAGGTTAAGCCACCACTTGGGACACCCACATCCTTTATCAGAGTGCTTGTTGAAGTCCTGGCACCTCTGCTTCTGATCCAGCTTCTTGCTAATGCACCCTTGGAGGCAACATATGATGGTTCAATTAGCTGGGTCCCTGACACTCACGTGGGAGACCTGGAAGGAGTCCTGGTCTCCCGCCTTAGTCCTGGCCCAGGTCTGGCTGTTGTGAGCATTTGGAACATGAACTAGCAGGTAGAAGATATCTCTCTCTCTTGCTCTACCTTTCAAGTAGATGAAAATAAATGCATAAGCATTTAAAAATAAAAACTGTATTCTTACTGCTTCTAAATAGACTTTCAAACAATCCTCTTTTTAATTCTACCTTAAATGCCACTTTGAGAATTATATGGTGCTACTAATTACTCAATATTTTGGGGCTGTGTGCTATAAATTGGTTTACTTCTAGGACTAATGGCTGGCTAAGGATTCTGTCTTCTTGGGTCTATTTGGTCAAATACTCCTTGTCCATCAATTTTCTAACTTTCAGATTTTTTATAGCTGTGGAATTTTCTGTTCTTTCACCCTGTGAACTTAGTTTGTTCTCTTTGCTCATCTCTCCTCTTTCCCTATATTTTCAAAATAACAATATAGTATCAAAATAGCGATACAAATACCACGTAAAATGAGACTGTTAAAAACTGCTTTTAAAATACTTTGTGAATCTTGTGGTTCTTAGGATACTCTCATTAGGAATATGCAGTAAACGATTTGAGTTTTAAGGTCACTTGAAATAATTTCCTTTTGATGATTAAACTACCAAATTGATACATAACCAGTTAGGTTCCTTTACTTTGTTTTACTTTTGGTTTTCAGGAAATTTTTTTTCTTTTTCTGATTTCATTTTCTTTTATAATTATGTATAATTCCAGACTTAAAGTTTAAGACAGAATATACTTAGTAAAACCTAGCTTCTATCCTTGCCTCCTCTACTCTGTTTCTTCCATTCTCCTATAGGCAGCTATTTAATGTCTTTATAATAGACTCTGTCCTTACCGTGATTTGATACCTGTCAGCCAGTAGCACAGTGTGGTGACTGTAGTTCATAATAATGTATATTAACTGTATACTCCAAGTATAAAGAAATGAGAAAGAAATGGAAATGCTGATTACCTGGCTTGATCAGTTCTGCTGTATACATGTTGAAATACTGCATTATATCCCATACAATTGTACAAGTATTACATATTAATAAAAGTAGAAGCCAAAGTGTAAGTAGCCCCCGCTTACCCCACTACTCTTTGATCCCTTACCCCGATTTATGTTCTGTTATACTTCCATCGTATATGACATTATTATATGTGTTTTTGTACTACTAGAATGTAAGCTTCATGAGATGTGCCAAGTAAATGCATTTCTGGATTCCTATTTAGGGGTATTCAAAGGGATATTTGTGATTTTTTCCCCCTTTTGAATATAGGTTAGTAGCATAGTTTATTTATTTATTTATTTATCTTTTTTTTTTTTTTTTTTTTTTGACAGGTAGAGTTAGACAGTGAGAGAGAGAGCTAGAGAGAAAGGTCTTCCTTCCATTGGTTCACCCCCCAAATGGCCTCTATGGCTGGCGTGCTGCGCTGATCCGAAGCCAGGAGCCAGGTGCAGGGCCCAAGCACCTGGGCCACCCTCCACTGCCTTCCTGGGCCACAGCAGAGAGCTGGACTGGAAGAGGAGCAACCGGGACAGAATCTGGGCCCCAACCGGGACTAGAACCTGGAGTACTGCCGCTGCAGGCAGAGGATTAGCCTAGTGAGCCAGGGCGCCGGCCAGCATAGTTTATATTTATTTATTTTTTATTTTTTGCCAGGAAGAGTTAGCAAGAGAGAGAGAGAGGAAAGTCTTACTTCTGTTGGTTCACCCTCCAAATGGCTGCTACGGCCAGCGCTGTGCCGATCTGAGGCCAGGAGCCAGGTGCTTCCTCCTGGTCTCCCATGCAGGTGCAGGGCCCAAGCACCTGGGCCATCCTCCACGGCCTTCCCGGGCCACAGCAGAGAGCTGGACTGGAAGAGGAGCAACCGGGACAGAATCTGGGCCCCAACCAGGACTAGAACCTGGGGTGCCAGCGCCGCAGGTGGAGGATTAGCCAAGTGAGCCGCAGCGCCGGCCCAATTTTTAAAGTTTATATTATTTGATTAACATTGCTATTATACTTTAATAAAGGTATATTAATGATTCCTTTACAGGTGTTTAAAATTACAGAGGACAATATGATATAGTGACGCAACAGTGATAGAGATAGGAGTCCCCTGAGATCTGAGCTGTGTTCTGCTCCCTTACAGTTAACCCAGGGGTGGATGAAGATGACTGTGGCATGTGCTGAGTTTTTCCAAAAACTCATGCAAGTGCTGAGGGAATGTAATGCAGAGGCATTAGATTACATTAAACTTTGTTATATATAATTAGTTCTGGTTTTATATATGTACTGTATGGGTGGTCTGCAAAAAATTCAAGGAAAACGTGTATTATGAAAACATTATGCATGGATTCCAAAAATTATTGTACCAAAAGAAACTAACCTTTTAATTCCATTTTTCCACAAACTTTTTGAAGTATCCTTACATGCAAAAGTGTTCAGTAAAAGCTACAGAGCTTATGTGTGCAATGAAATTAGCACAACCCTCTAAACTTTCGGGGTGTGTGGCCCGGTGGTAAGCCATACTTGAGATGCTTGAATCTCATGCTGTGGTGCCTGGGTTTGAGTCCTGCCTTTGCTTCCAATCCAACTTTCTGCAAGTGAGCGCTCTAGGAGACAGCGGGTGATGGCTCAAGTACTTGGGTCCTTAATACTGTTACAGAAAGCTGGATTGGAGAAATCCCCTTCAAACAGGCACTAGAGGCTGGGTGGAGGATCAGCAGAACCAGTTTATTAACGTCGATGTGCCCAGTGGAACCTTTTCCCAAAACTGGGCATCTGATGCAGGTTTCTTAAAATATTTCTGGGTTTTTCAGAATGCATTAACAGTTACAGTCTTGGTGGGCTTCGTTACAGCCTTAGGACTCAGGACCACTGATGAGGAACTTCAGGTCACACTCATGGAAACTTGATGAGGGCGGAGAGGAGGGCTGCAGAAAACTGAGATTAGGATACCTACCCCGACATACCAGCACCTACAGGGGACAGATTTAGATGACTGCCCAAACAAGCCAGCACCTATGGGGAACTGGAACAGGGGTTACAGTAAATAGAGATTAGGACATCTGCCCTCCTCAAGAGTCTTGTCTCTCCCGTCTCTGGTCACAGCCTAACTTCCTCTTCAGACTGTGTTCCGGGCTCTAGACTTTGACCTGATTTAGCCCTGGCTGTGACAGGGATTTGAGGAGAGGACCAGTGAATCTCTCTCTCTCTCTCTCTTTGTTTTTCTTGTACTCTGCCATTTAAATAACATTGAAATTGAAAATTAAAGAACTGGAAAATACAAATAAGTTATTCCAAAGACTTAAAAAAATAACCTTTTGCCAGTGAGAAATGAAAAGAAACCTGATAAAAATGGTAGCACAGATTTGTGTGTGTTACACGATGAAGAAGATACATAAATTTTGCAATAAGATGTCACTTGACCTTGAAGAAGGCTCAGGTGTTCTTACAGAAGTGCTAGCACTGGAAGAGCTGCAGGCTGTGTATGCAGCTGGGTGCAGGCTTCTATTCTTTCTCATGGACGCAACTGCAGCATAAGCAGACAGGAAATGCATGCATGCTGTGTCAGGGTGTTTCCTAATAATAATGTCAGAACAAGTTTGCATTTTTTAAAGCAGGTGGTGTGGTGGGACTAATTATATTATTTTTCTCCTTTAGATGATATGCCCTCTGGAACTGCTGGAAGACGTGCTTCCAATGAGTTCTTGGTGTGTGGATGGTATGTGTATATAAAATCTATAAACAATTCTTCATATTTTGGTATTTTGAGTTAAGGCTATAGAAGTTTTTATTGTTGATTTAATATCTGTAGTTACATAATTTCTCATTAAAAATTATTAATAAAACATATAATCTATCTTAACTTTGAAAAAACAATTCTTATTTAATTTATTTGATAGACAGACACATTTAATTTATTTAAGAGACAGACCAATAGAGAGGGAGCAAGAGAGAGCGAGCGTGCATGTGCACTCACCTGACAGCTCGTTCTCCAAATGCCTGCTGGGGCCAGGGCCAGGCTGAGGCTGAAGCTGGTTTCTAGGAGCTTGATCCAGGTCTCCCATGTGAGTGGCAAGGGCCAGCTATTAGAAGCATTAATGCCGCCCTCCAGAGCGTGTGCACTAGCAGGAAGCTGGAATTAGGAGCCAGAGTCAGGAGTCAAACCTGGGGACTCCAGTAGGAGACACTGGTGTCTTAATTGCCGAGGCAAATGCCTGCCTCTTCCTGGTTTCTTTGTGTATACTTGGTGAACTCTTTTTGAAAATTGGGCATTTGACAAAACAGCTACCTCTCCCATTCTTATGTACTGGCTGTGTGCAGGGGAAGACTAAACATCTATCATGGTGCTTACAGGTTATGGGATCCATCAGACCATTCCTGGAAAGTGTCTTCTTTGGGAATGTATCTTTGCTTTTATTCAGATAAACACAGGTGCTTCTGAGTGTTTTAATTTCCTGTTCTCAGAAAGTTGCAAGTCTGTTACATTCCTCTGTCCTTAATCTCTTGCTCCCCCTGGTGCCTGCCATCAGAAATCCAGAGTCTGCTATTAACCAGTTCAGAGCTGTTTTCCTTGGCCTCTAGTCTGGTTTCCAGACTGTGTCACTATTCCATTCCTGCTGTGAGCCAAGCAGTACAGAAACTGGTTCCTCGAGCAGACCTTACTAGAATGCTGATACAAGGTTGGGTGGATTCCTTTGGTCCCAAGGGAAGAGGAAGGAATTCGGTGCTGTTCTCCTGACCCTGCCTTGCTGAGCCTGATGAGAAGAGGGGTTAGGGTAAACAAAAAGTGAACTTCCTTTCCCACCTTGGCGCCATCTCTCCTCTTACGCATTTCCTTATGCCTGGGTTACAGTTCCTTAACTAGTAGTTCCTAGTTCACAGAAAAATATTTTGGTACACATAAATTGCTTTTAAATCAGTATTTCCATGAGCAAACAAGGACCTATGACTTGTTAGTCTTGTGTCTTGCTTACATCATATTTTTCATTCTTTTAAACATGAGATAGGGCGTGGGCATCATGGTGCAGCAGGTAAGCTGCTATTTGGGACATCCATGTCCCATATCAGAGTGCTGGGGTTCAAATTCTAGCTCCACTTCCAGTCCAGCTTCTTGCTGTGCACACTGTTGGAGGCAGCAGGGGGTTTCAACCACCCATGTGAGAATCACAGGTGAAGTTCTGGGCTCCTGTCTCAGCCTTGGCTTTGTAGGTATACGTGGGGTGAACCAGTAGATGGAAGAGGATCTCTGTCTCTTTGTTTCTCTGTCAGTCTGCCTTTCAAATTGAAAGAAAAAAGAGTTTTTGCAAAGTTTGGAGAAAAGTAAAATATGGATAAAAGATATGGTCATTACCTGTATACTCATTCCTTTAACTCTGTTAAATCCTAACATTTTTGCCTTTTAACTGTTTGTTTGAAAGGCAGAGTTGCAGAGAGAGAAGGAGAGACAGAGAGAGAGGTCTTTCATCCACTGGTTCATTCCCAAATGGCCACAAAGGCCAGGGCTGGGCCAGGCCGTAGCCAGGAGCCAGGAAACTATTTGCATCTTCCAGGTGGGTGGCAGGGGCCCAAAGACTTGGGCCATGATGTGCTGATTTCCCAAGCACATTAGCAGGGAGTTGGATTAGAAGTGGAGCAGCCAGGACTTGCACCAGTGCTCATATGGGATATCAGCAGTGGCTTAACCCACTATGTCATAGTGCCAATCCCCTAACAGTTGTTAAGAGAAACAAAATATGAAGTCAGTTGAAATCACACACACACACACATACATATATGTCTGTACTGTTATAAGCAATATATAGATTTTTTGCATGATTTATATAAATGGCATAATACATGCTTTTTTTTAAAGTTTTTAAAATTAACAACAAAGTGTTAGAAGGATAAGCTGAGGTTTTAAATGTCCTGGACTGCAACGATGAAGTAAGAAACTCTAGACAGGACAAATGTGAATATAGTTTCTTACTTGTGTTACTACTGTTGGCTGTGGGTCAGCTACAGCTTTGCTTCATGTGTTGTGGTCTTTCTGGTGTACAGATTGGAAGGGCAGCTCTGATTTGGGACATGCTTTCTCAAAAGAAAGGGAAAGAGAGTGATGGCAGAACTGCACACAGGCTCTGAAAGCTTGTGCTCTGCCCTCCCAGCTGGGCGCTGTTCTTCCACACTGCCTCCTGGGGGGCTTGTGGTAGGCAGCACAGTCACCAAAATGAGCTTACCTTTTAATTCCATTTTTTCTTTGCACTTTTTAAAGTCTCCTCTTAAATTTCTAGGTTCCCCCCCCCTTTTTTTTTTACTTCCTGCCTTTTTTTTTTTTCAGGCATCTTGGGCTCCCTTTTAGCTTCTTTTCCTGTGATATATTTAACTTTTCTTTGCTTCACTGATGAGTGTATTTTTACCTAAAGAAACTTCTCTTAGTAATAGGTTCTTCGTTACCTGTGTGATGGTCTACAGTACAGGTAGGGAGCATAATACCTATTCTTCCTGCACCTGGGCAAAAAGTAGGTGCAGAGGTTGGTATATCAGAATTCTGAAGAAGGATTGTTCCCAGACAGTGATGGATGCCAGCCACATCCACAGCCTGTAGTGCGTGAGAGGATGTTACCTCCGTGTGGAGCCCCTTTTCTAGTGGCCTCCCTTCGTAGATACTAACTTCTTTCTTGCTGGACCCCTCACCTGCGTTTCATGTGCAGGTGTGGGACCACGTGCCAGGCTGGTCCCCTCTCTGTGCTGCTTTGGCTTCAGGATCATGACCACTTATCCCCAGGGAGCTCTGTGTGAGTCACAGCTGTGGCTCTGCATTTGTTTGCATAGGCCCTCCCTTCTTTCCGGGTGTTACATTCATTCTGGGTGAATCCTTGCTGGCCTGATGACTTGCTAACTTGATGGATTTACTCATGGAGTCTTCCTAAAACACAGAAGTGGTTACATAAAGACTGAATCTGAAGAAGAGTCACCCACTCTTAGCCCTTGCACTCGTCTTCTCTCAGCTTTGGGAGAGGAGATAGAATGGCCTGCGGCTGTGCTGCTGTGCTGTCAGACTGCATAATCTTTGCAGTATTCTGAGGGGCTCAGAGATGACGGTCCACACAGAGAATCCCCTAAACTGTGAGACCTGCTGGAGGTGAGGAGCTTGTGCTGGAGACATTTCCTTCCTTACCTCGGGCTCAGAGAGTCAAGCGATGCTTAAATATTGATTTCAGTGAAAAGCAGATAGAAAAAAGGCTGCAGTACCCTTAGCTGACTGGAGGTCTGGGAATTTGTCCAGGGAAGACTTTCTGGGCTCTGAGTCTATTTGCAGAGCCTGTCCAAAGACTGAATGAGACAACATATACACAACACTCACCAAGGCTGTTCCCTTCTCCATGTGCCGGGAAGAGGAGGAACCAGAGTTAGAGAGAGAGAAAAGGAAGGGGAAAGAGAGAAGGAGGGAGGGAGGGACAGAGAGAAGGAGAGGGAGGGAGGTGCTTTGAACTATGAGATTGCTAAATTTACTTCTTAGGGTCCCTTTATTTAGCTTTTCAATTTCCCATTAGAGATGGAAAAAATATTAGAACTTGACAATGTTTAAGTTAAAAGAAAATCCCTGATATACTTCGTTCAGAACTGAATGCTTTCAGAACTTTTTGTTTACTTTTTTTTTTTTTTGACCAGGCAGAAGGTGGACAGAGGAGAGGACAGAGGAGACGGTTCTTCCTTTGGTTGGTTGGTTCACCCCTCCCAATGGCTGGCCGCGGCTTGGTGCGCTGCCGGTCAGCGCACCGCGCTGATCCAGTGGCAGGAGCCAGGAGCCAGGTGCTTCTCCTGGTCTCCCATGGGGTGTAGGGCCCAAGGAGTTGGGCCATCCTCCACTGCACTCCCTGGCCACAGCAGAGAGCTGCCTGGAAGAGGGGCAACCGGGACAGAATCCGGCGCCCCGACCAGGACTAGAACCCGGTGTGCCGGCGCCGCAAGGTGGAGGATTAGCCTATTGAGCTGCGGCGCCAGCCTGTTTACTTCTTTTTTTTTTTTTTTTAACTTTTATTTAATGAATATCGATTTCCAAAGTACAGCTTATGGATTACATTGGCTCCCCCCCCCCAATGACTTCCCTCCCACCCGCATCCCTCCCCTTTCCTGCTCTCTCTCCCCTTCCATTCTTATCAAGATTCATTTTCAATTTTCTTATATACAGAAGATCAGTTTAGTATACATTAAGTAAAGATTTAAACAGTTTGCACCCACATAGAAACACAAAATGAAAAATACTGTTTGAGTACTCGTTATAGCATTAAATCACAATGTACAGCACATTAAGGACAGAGATCCTACGTGAGGAGTAAGTGCACAGCGACTCCTGTTGTTGACTTTACAAATTGACACTCCTGTTTATGGGATCAGTTTACTTCTTAAAAGGAAACAGTGGGAAGATGGCAGTTGTCCATCCACATGCTGATACTTGTGTCTGCTGGTCGCTTGTTGTAAGGAACTTGGGCTGTCAGACCTGTGTGTGTATGAGCTTACAGGCCCTGGGCTAGTGAATGAAATCTCTTGAAGCTGTTTTAGTTTTGAGTGGTAGAGAGTTTATTTGTTTTTAGCTGTTCTCAGGATTCAGATAAACTGAAGAATCAGATGTATGATGTTAAAAACAAAAATCATCATATTAAAAAATACCTAATGGAAATACCTAAATGAAAACCAGCCCATTGAATGGTGTACAGTCTGAAATCCCCCTGGATGTAAATGACTGTGTGCTGACTGTAGCTGAGGTTTTCTGCTATCAAGAGCAGTCAGGGTAAACAGTTATTGTTTCTGTGGCTCAAAGAAGGTAATTGTCTCCAGTCCTCCTGGCCTTTTCTTTCTGTTTCTAAGGTAACTGCTAATAGTGAGAACGAGGCACATGAGATTGATTTTCTGGCCATCAGTTCACTCTCCAAATACCAGCAATATCTGGGGCTGTGTCAGACCAAAGCAAACACCTGGAACTCCTGTGGCATCTCCCACATGAGTGGCAGTGGCTAAAATACTTGAACCAGCACCTTCTACCTCCCAGGGCACATATTACCAGGAAGCTGGATCAGAAGAGGAAGCAGAACTTGGTCCCAGGCAGTCTGATAAAGGGATGTGGGCCTCCCAAGCAGCAGTTCAACCTGGTGCTTCACCAGGCTTGCTCCAAGTCATCATCCATTCATCCATCCATCCATCCATCTTCCCTCCTTCCTATCCTGCCTCCCTCCCTCCCTTCCTTCCAAATGAAGAGTTAGAGAGAGAGAAAGAACTCCCCAAATGGCTGCAATGACGGGCTAGGCTCGGCCAAAGCCAGGAGCCAGGAGCTTCTTCTGGGTCTCCCACGTGAGTGCAGGGGCCCAAGGACTTGGGCCATCCTCCACTGCTTTCCCAGGTTCATTAGCAGGGAACTGGATCAGAACTAGAGCATACAGGACTCAAACCAGTGCCTATATGGGATGCTGTCGCTGCTGGCTGTGGCTTAACCTGCTACACCACAGCACCAGCCTCCAAGTCATCTTTCTTAATGCCCAGCATTGTCCCTTGTATGTTTCAGGAAATTTTCCAAAATGAATTCAAAGTTATCCCAGGAATACTGTTTCTGAATTGATAAAAAGTGAAGAAGGAAGCTTACTAAAGAAACCAATACCAGACACTTGAAAATGTGGACCTCTTATCAGTTGTGTGCTTTGAGAATTGCGCAGTGTGTTTTCAATCTTCTTTAAGACAGATTTTCTTGGGAACCCTAACTGCATTCATGACTTTGATAAACATTCCAGTTACCCTTGCTCATGAATTTCCTGTTCTTCTACCCAGTGTATTTCCCTAGAAAAAATTTTTTCCCTGTCATAGAAATGAGTAGTAGAATGGGAATGGATGAAACAGTTTGTTGACTGTGGACTCTTACTGATGTTGTAGAGGAACTTTTCATCCCAGGTTATTGTTACAGCTCTTAGCCCTTGTTGTGCCTATGAATGTCAGGACAGCTCTTTAGATAACAAATGTGACTTTTTTTTTTTTTACCTCTAAATATATATTTTGTAACTTAGACACATACGTTGATCATTTGGCTGTTTCTCAGATTTTCTCTCTCATTAATGGGTCAAACAAAAGAAAAACCTTACTGATACTTCTTTTCTTTTTCAATAAATTATGATTGTAGGCAGTGTCAGCCTACTGTGTCACCTCACAGCGAAACAGCACCAATTCCAGTTCCTACTCAAATAAGGAATTATCAGCGCATAGAGCAGAATCTTACATCTACTGCCAGCTCTGGTACAAATCCACATGGTTCTCCAAGGTAAGCTGGCATTTTTCCTTTCTTTAAAAATTCTTTTGATACTGTGATTGAAAGATCCATGACTTTTGGTGACAGACTTAATCTCTTCCATATATGTATAATGGAAATGTACAAAATCGAAAGATTTTATGATTGACCCATTTAAGTGATATTTATGCTTAGCTGGATAATATAATATATGCACATATAATGAGGATACTTCAAAAAATTTGTGGAAAATGGAGTTAAAAGATACATTTATTGTAATGCAAAAAGTTTGAAATCCCTGCATAGTTCTTTCATAAGATACACTTTTCATAAACTTTTCAAAGTGTCCGTGTGTATTTATTAATATAATTACTTTTAAGAATTGAGTAAGAACTTGTTAAAATAATGAAATCCCACATGTAGCAGATTAGTTACATATTGTTTATTTCATCCTTGTCTTCAGACACTCCACTAACATTTTAGTAAAGGAATAACAAACACCAGTAACATAGGATAGATGTTCAAGGGCCGGTGTTGTGGCACAGAGGCTTAAGCTACCGCCTGCAATGCCATCATCCTGTATGAGTGCTGACTGAAGTCTAGGCTGCTCCTCTTCCAATCCCCCTCACTACTAATGCACTTGGGAAAGCAACGTAAGATGGCGCAAGGACCTTGGCTCCTACATCATGTGGGAGACCTAGATGGAGTTCCTGCATCCTGGCTTTTTCCTGTCCTAGCCCCAGCTGTTGCAGCCATTTGGGGTAGTGAACCAGCAGATGGAAGGTCTCTCACTTTCTCTAACTCTGCCTTTCAAATAAATAAATAGATCTTTAATAATAAATAGAAAAAGAGATGTTCAGTGGATTAGAGATTTTCATAATTTCTAGAAAATGGGAGGAAGATGGAAGAAGGGCTCACTTTAGCAGGGCTGATGTAATTGTGACTATCAGAGAGCTGACAGGATGAGATTTACTGTGCTCTCCAAAAGCCTCAGAGAAGACGGGATCTCAGAGAACTCAGGTGGAGTAGAGAGAAAAAATAGCACTTCAACTTCTAGTAACTTACTTTATAGATTCATGCACATAGGCATAAACATATTCTACACATATAGTCTTTGCCAAGGTATGAGATTGCATACATGCAAAATTATTAACTGTTATGATAGCAAAGGATGAGAAGTAAGCCAAGTGTGTACCAGTTAGGGGCCAATTGATACACAGTGTGTCTTCCATTACAAGAAGAATAAAGAAGGTGGTGATTTACTGAGGTCAGCACATTTTTTACTTATACTACACATTGGAAAAAAGATAGTTAATAGAATATTAATAGTCCTTTTTAAGATTTATTTATTTATTTGAGAGGCAGAGTGACAGGAGAGAGAGGGAGAGACAGAAAGAAAGGTCTTCCCTGAGCTGGTTCACTCCACAAATGGCCACAATGGCTGGAACTGGGCTGATGGGAAGCCAGGAGATTCCTCTGGGTCTCCCACATAGGTGCAGAGGCCCATATATTTGGGCCATCATCTGCTGTTTTCCCAGGCCCATTAGCAGAGAGAGCTGGATCAGAAGTGGAGCAGCCAGGTCTTGAATTGGCCCCCATATTGGATGCTGGTGCCGCAGGCAGAGGTTTAACCTACTACGCCACGGTGCTGGCCCAAGCAATAGTTGTTAAAGTGTGATCTTTGGGTTTCTTTACAGTGTCCATGGCAGCAAAGTGATTTTCATAATAACCCTAGGATATGGTTGGCTGTTTTGTTGCACTAATAGTGCCATAAGGAAAAATGCAACGGCTGGTTGCCTTAGTGTGAATCAAGATGGTAGAACTCAGCTGTACTTTTTTTTTTTTTTAAGATTTATTTATTTATTTGAAAGAGTTGCAGAAGGGGAGAGACAGAGAGATCTTCCATCTGCTGGTTTACTTCCCAGATGGCCACAAAGGCTGGGGCTGGGCCAGGCTGAAGTCAGGAGCTTCTTTCATGTCTCCCAGTTGGGCTATCTTATGTTGCTTATCCCAGGCCAACAGCAGGGATTCACTGCATTCTTAGTCTTGGTTTTTCTCACTACCACTGCACACTTTGTAGTACAAAGGAACATGAAATTTCTTTTTGAAGATCTCAACCCTTGAGTGTAATCTGTATGTAACTGTACATTAGAGTAAGGCCGGCGCCGCGGCTCACTAGGCTAATCCTCCGCCTAGCGGCGCTGGCACACCGGGTTCTAGTCCTGGTCAGGGCACCGGATTCTGTCCCGGTTGCCCCTCTTCCAGGCAGCTCTCTGCTGTGGCCAGGGAGTGCAGTGGAGGATGGCCCAGGTGCTTGGGCCCTGCACCCCATGGGAGACCAGGAAAAGCACCTGGCTCCTGGCTCCTGCCACTGGATCGGCACAGTGCGCCGGCCGCAGCGCGCTGACCGTGGCGGCCATTGGAGGGTGAACCAACGGCAAAGGAAGACCTTTCTCTCTGTCTCTCTTACTGTCCACTCTGCCTATCAAAAAAAAAAAAAAAAGTACATTAGAGTAGCTGTCTTAGGAGAAGCACTTATATGGTTTGCCTTAGTTGCAAGCTGAACTGGCCACTTTCTCATAGAATATCCTTTCTACTTTAAAGAATGCATGACAAATGTGGTTGTGGGCCTTTTTGTCAAAAATGAAGTTTTGTTTCTTTGAAGAAAGGAAGTGACAGCACATGTCAGTGATAAAATTTGAGCTTTTAAGCAAAAGTTAGAATATTGAAAACTTGTATTCACTACTGTGATCCTGACAACTCCTGTTATGTCTTGACATATGATTCTGTTGACATTGAAGATGATATTTTGATAAAAATGTTTAATGTGTCAGCGTTTGGAGTATCTGCATAACACCATGAACCAGTGAACAAGTATTAAAAAGTCATGCGTGGGGTTGATGTTTAGTCCAGCAGTGAGGATGCTGTTACAGGCACTGTGGCATAGTGGGCAGCACCTCTGCCTACAGCACCAGCAGCCTATATCGGTGCTGATTCGTGTCCTGGTGCTCCACTTGTGATCTAGCTCTCTGCTATGGCCTGGGAAAGCAGTTAAGGGTGGTACAAGTGCCTTGGGCCCCTGTACCTGCATGGGAGACCTGGAAGAAGCTCCTGGCTTCGGATCGGCCCAGCTCCAGCCATTGTAGCCATGTGGGGAGTGAACCAGCAGAGGGAAGACCTTTCTGTCTCTTCCTCTCTCTGAAACTCTACCTCTCAGATAAATAAATAAAATCTTAAAAAAAAAAAAAAAAAAAGAGAGACACTGCTGTCCCATATCAGACTACCTGGGTTTAAGTCTCAGCTCAGCTCCTGAGTCCAGCTTTCTGTTAATGGGCACCCCCTGGGAGGCAGCAGATGATAGCTCAAGCAGTTGGATTCCTACCATCCAAGTAGGAGACCTGGATTGAATTCCTGGCTCCTGGCTTTGCCTGTGAACATTTGGGATATGAACTAGCAGATGGGATCTGTGTCTCTCAAATTTAAAAAAAAAATCACATGTTAAAAGATTCATTCAGAGTACAAGATATTTAGCTAAGGAACAGAACTTAATGTCGAAACGGAGTGCTAGAGTTCATTGGTAGTGTTAGATTCCACATTGTACTTTAGAAATTACTACTTGCTGACTTCTGGTGTAGTACAAGAGAAGAATATTACATTTATCTGAATAGACTGCCAAAATATTCCTTTCTTTCTCAGTAACATATCTCTGTAAGCCTGGATCTTTTATATACCTCACCCAGAAAAACATATTGTTTAACAAGTTCAATGCAGAAGCATTGATGATAATCCAAATGTCTCCTGTTAAGTCAGACATTAGGTATTTTCAAAAATGCAATAATATCCTGCTTCTCCTAATTTGTTTTGGAAAACATACTCATTTTCCATACTCTTATATTACATGTAATACATTATTTTGGTGAATTAATAATGTGTTAATTTTCAGTTACTTTGTAACACATTGACAAAAGATATAAATTATATAAATTAAAACTGGAATCTTCAGTAGTTATAAGAGTATAGATGGACCTCAAATCAAAAGGATTGACAATGCTTGGTAAATGATACCACCTTTGATGTTAAGACAAGTGAAAATAATATGTGTTCAGTTTGCTTATATGAGAACATGCATTGAGGAATTTTGGAGGGATACACTTGAAACTAAAAATAAAAGCAGATGATTGCACAGCAATTGAGTTGTTGCTTGGGATGCCTGCATCCCATATCTGAGCACTTGGCTTCAGTTCTGGCTCTTCCACTTCTCATCCTGCTTCCTGCTAATGTACACCCTGGGAAGCAATACATGATACCCAAGCACCTGCATCCCTACCACCACCCACATGAGAGACTCAGATTGAGTTCCTGGCTCATCCTGGCAAAACCCTGATGTAGGAATTTGGGAAGTCAGTGGAAGTGGATGAAAGATCTCTGTCTCTCTGCCTTCTTTTTTTTTTTTTTTTTTTTTTTTTGACAGGCAGAGTGGACAGTGAGAGAGAGAGACAGAGAGAAAGGTCTTCCTTTGCCGTTGGTTCACCCTCCAATGGCCGCCGCTGCAGCCGGCGCACCGCGCTGATCCGATGGCAGGAGCCAGGGTCCAGGTGCTTTTTTCCTGGTCTCCCATGGGGTGCAGGGCCCAAGCACCTGGGCCATCCTCCACTGCACTCCCTGGCCATAGCAGAGAGCTGGCCTGGAAGAGGGGCAACCGGGACAGAATCCGGCGCCCCAACCGGGTCTAGAACCCGGTGTGCCGGCGCCGCAAGGTGGAGGATTAGCCTAGTGAGCCACGGCGCCGGCCTGTCTCTCTGCCTTCTAAGCAGAGGTGGTGGGGCAAGCATTGTGGTACAGTAGGTTAAGCTACTATTTGGGGAAATCTGCATCCCATGTCTGAATGCCAGTTTGAATCCTGGCTTCTCTGCACTTCTGATTCATCTTCCTGCTAATGTGGCCTGGGAAGCAGCAGATGATGATGGCCCGAGTATTTGGGTTCCTGCCATTCCCACCCTGTAGAGCTCCTGGCTTTGGCCTGGCCTAGACCCAGGTGTTGTGGGAATTTGGGAAGTGAACCAGTGGAGAGAAGATCTCTATTTTTCTTTATCTGTCACTCTGCCTTTCAAATAAGTAAATCTTAAAAGTATTTTAAAAAAGATTTTATTTTGTTTATTTGAAAGAGTTACAGAGAGGGAGATACAGAGTGAGAGAGAGAGAGATCTCCATCTACTGGATCACTCCCCAAATGGCTACAGGAACCAGGGCTGGGCCTAGCTACTTCCAGCTTTCCTATGTGGGTGCAGGGGCCCCCAAGTACTTGTACCATCTTCTGCTGCTTTCCCTGATGCATTGGCAGGGAGCTGGATTGGATATGGAGCAGCAAGGACACAAAGCACTGCCCATATGGGATGCTACACCACAATGCCAGTCCCAATGAGTTACATATTTTTAAAAACTCTACTCCGTAGCCTATTGTTAAGGAAGTTTCAGAAAAGGCCAGGAATAAAAAGAGCCCTATAACCTGCCAGAGAACAGAGAAGAAGTAATTGTTTTTCTTCTCTTTTAGATCTGCAGTGGTACGAAGGTCTAACACCAGCCCCATGGGCTTTCTTCGGGTGGGATCCTGCTCCCCAGCGCCAGCAGACACAGCACAGACAGTTGGACGGAGACTCTCTACCGGATCTTCCCGGCCTTACTCACCTTCCCCGTTGGGTAAGAAGAGTTTAAAGCAGTTGTTTTCAACCTTTCTTTCACTGTAACAAATATGACATGACATGACACAGTCTGTGTAGGAGTATTGGCTTTTTTTTTTTTTTTTTTTTTACAGGCAGAGTGGACAGAGAGAGAGACAGAGAAAGGTCTTCCTTTTTCTGTTGGTTCACCCCACAATGGCTGCTGCGGCCGGAGCACTGTGGCCAGCGCACCGCGCTGTCCGTAGCCAGGAGCCAGGTGTTTCTCCTGGTCTCCCTTGCGGGTGCAGGGCCCAAGCACTTGGGCCATTCTCCACTGCCCTCCCGGGCCATAGTAGAGAGCTGACCTGGAAGAGGGGCAACCGGGACAGAATCCAGCTCCCCGACTGGGACTAGAATCCAGGGTGCCTATGCTGCAGGCAGAGGATTAGCCTATTGAGCCGCGGCGCCGGCCAGGAGTATTGGCTTTTGATGACACCAGTTCTCAGCTGATGGGAGATCTTGGTCATCTCTCCAGCCATAACTCATTCCCAACACCTTCTTAAGAATCTCTGCATAAATCTATTAGGATCAGTATTAGAAAAATAATACAGCTGCATCTTCATAGAGTTTGGGTTCTAAATGCAAAGTCAGAAACCCTAGGTTAAAGAGCATAAAATGCCCACCCTCATCACTCGGATTTATGAGGATTAAAATACAGCAGCTCCTGCATGTACACCAGAAGCCTTCCATCTCCAGTAGGAACCTGGTGACAACTTTGTTACAGATCTTCTACTGGAAGTCATGTCCAGTAACAAGGAGAATGCTAAAAGGAACAGCACAAATTCTGTCAAACAGAAAAACAGACTACAAACTACATGTTCAGTGCAACTAAGAGAAAAAAATACCTGAACTCCAGACTATGTATAAGAAAGGCTAAAGCCACTGAGATGACAGCTCTGAGGGTGGGAAGAACTGGTGGCAGATCCTCAAATTGCAGATAGCATATTTCCAAGAGGAGAGGGCCCTACCTCATCGGAACTGCTGTAATAAAATTAAGATGGCACAGGAGGAAATCTCAGGAGATAGATAAAGGTTACAGGTAGTCCCCAGGAGCCCTGCTATTTTAAAAATGTAAGACCTACAATGATAATTTTTTTAAAAAAAATTAAATTTCATGTTACTGTTGTAGTACTTTTAAAGCTGTCTTTCTCTGGAAAATCTTCAGACAATCTTGGCCTTCTTTCATTTTGCAGGAGCCCTGGAGGCACTATAAGATCTTCAAAGACAAGAGCCAGACCTTATCATTGCACTCAGGAAAAGGCCCTTCCTTGGGATCTAAGCTCTGCCTAAGCATTTAGACATCATCCCCTTCTGCCATAGACTTGAGTGTCTTGTTTTTGTAAACTCCTGAAGCCTTTTCCAATGTTGCCTTTTATGTGTGTGTGTGAGTTCTAGGGAAGGTGAATGCAAAAAAAGAGATTATATGTGTAAGAGCCTGATCAAGGGAAATACCTGTGAAGGACAGCAGTGGATAGGGGAAGGCAGGAGGGCCCGCACCCAAACGTAGGTTAGACAGCTGGGAGAGAGGAAGGAAGGAAGCAAAATTGGGCAAATAATCTCAGATTTAACACACCTCTAACAAGGTGTTCTCCAGACTGAGGGAGTAGCTCGAGCACTGAGGCTCTCCCTGACACACTTCAACAGGCCCGAAGCAGTACCCTGCTATACACAGTCCTTGCTGGGAGCAGGGGCATCTGGCTTTATCACCAGTGGGGTTGATCCAGAGGGGCAGCAGCTGGATTGCTGCTAGCTGAGCCCCAGATACTTTTTACAAACTCTGTCATACACATGCGCCTGGTACAGGCATTAGTTTGGTCGTGAGACTTGCTTTCTTGATGATCTCATTTCAAAGCAAGTTACTATTGTAACCTTCATGTGCCTGGTGCCGGGTACATGGGTTGCTTGATAAATGTTTGTTGAGCTAAATCTTTGCTAATTTAAGTTTATAAACTGTAGAATTCTGAGCAGCTTGTGTATGTGTTACAACCCTGTATTGATTTGGGATCGTTTCTTTTCCCTGTCTCCCTTTGTAGTTGGGACAATTCCTGAGCAGTTCAGTCAGTGCTGCTGTGGGCATCCTCAGGGCCATGAATCCAGGAGTAGAAACTCTTCAGGTGGGAAAATTTATTTGGTATATTAATGATCTGGATTAAATTATGAGTGGATTGGCGTTTTACATTTCTTGTCCTGTTAAAAGAACAAAATTGCTGTGAAGTATTTCCTGTACTATCCTGGTTTTAGAATCTTGGTCTAATGTGTTTTAGCATATAATAGCAAATCTCATACTCTTTTTGGGTGTGAGATTTCATTATGAAAATAAGTATTAGGAATCAAATAACTTAGCTCAATTTTATTCATTGTCACATATAATTAATCTAGAAAATGAAATTTTATTATTTTGATATGATTTTTGATTAATATGATTTTTGCCAGTCATCGTCAGATTGTGTGACTACGTTTGCTTTACTATAGAATGTGCTCTCTAAAAAGATGTGGTGTAAATCCATGCCAGGTTAAATTTTGTTGTATGGGCATTTGAGGAATTGGCCAGTTAAAGGAACTCTTTTATTCTAAGTTTATTTGTACATATTTTGTATTTTCACATATATAAATGGCAAAACAGTTCTGAAAGAGTAAATATCAGTTTTGGAATGAAATTAATTTAGTGGCCAATAGCAAAGTTGCTGGTGTCTTTTTTTTTTTTTTTTAAAGATTTATTTATTATTTATTTGAAAGGCAGAGTGCAGAGAGAGGAGAGAGTGAGGTCTTCCATCTGCTGGGTCATTCCCCAAATGGCCGCAATGGCTGGAGCTAGGGCAATCCGAAGCCAGGAGCTTCTTCCCGGTCTCCCATGCAGGAGCCCAAGGACTTGGTCCATCTTCCACTGCTTTCCCAGGCCACAGCAGAGAGCTGGATCAAAAGTGGAGTAGCTGAGCCTCGGACTGGCTCCCATTTGGGATGCTGGTACTGCAGACAATGGCTTTATCTGCTAGGCCACGGCACCAACCCCTGGTGTGTTTTTAGAAAGATGATGGTTGGGTCCCTAAGAATACTTGCATGCCCTTAATGTTATTGGTGATAATTGACCTTGGAAGAAACTCTAAAGAATGTGTAACTGGAGCTCAAGCCTTGTTGGACCTTAAGTTGGCAACAGCGTAGTTTGTATAGGGAGAGGGGACTGTACCTCCTGGCTTTTGACATGGTACCCCTTAAGGGTCAAGAATATGTGTGGGCTGGCAAGTGTTTTCTTTGTAGAGAATTTGGGTTTTTATGTTTTAAATATGTCACTAATAAACCCAACAAAATACAGAAAATATCCTTACACCTGTTATTTTTAGACAGTAAAATTCTGGAAAAGTATTATCTTTATGATTTTCTTTTCTACTTTTTGTTTTATTTGAAAAGCACAGTAACAGAAAGGGAGAGACAGAGATCTTCTGTTTGCTGATTCACTCCCCAAATGCCCTCAGTGGCCCTCAATGGGGGCGGGGCAGAGCTAGGCCAAAGCCAGGAACCTGGAAATCGTCTGGGTCTGCCACGTGGGTGGCAGGGGCACAAGTACTTGTGCCTTCTTTCACTGCCTTTCCAAGCACATCAGCAGGGATCTAGATTGGAATGAAGATGGGACTTGAAGTGGTGCTGTGATACTGGATGCCAGTGTTCCATGTGGCAGCTTAGCCCACTGTGCCACACTCTCGCCCCACTTTTCTGTGTTTTTACAGTTTTCTTTTCTTTTTCTTTTTCTTTGGCCAGGCAGAGTTAGACAGTGAGAAAGACAGAGAGAAAGAGTTCTAGACAGTGAAAGACAGAGAGAAAGGTCTTCCTTCTGTTGGTTCACTCCTCTAATGGCCGATATGGCTGGCACACTGCGCCGATCCGAAGCCGGGAGCTGGGTACTTCCTTCTGGTCTTCCATGCGGGTGCAGGGACCCAAGCACTTGGGCCATCCTCCACTGCCCTTGTGGGCCACAGCAGAGAGCTGGACTGGAAGAGGAGCAACCGGGACTAGTACCCTGCGCCCCAACTGGGACTAGAACCTGGGGTGCCGGCACCACAGGTGGAGGATTAGTCTAGTGAGCTACGGCGCTGGCCTAAAGTTTTCTTACTTATTTTTATTTGGAAGGGAAGAAAGGAGGGGGGTGGGAAGAGAAAGGGAAGGAGGGAGGGAGGACAGTGTTCTTCATCTGCTGGTTTACTCTCTAAATGGCCACAACAACCAGGTTTGGGCTAGGCTGAAACCAGGAGCCACGAAGTCCATCTGGGTCTCCCAAGTAGGTGAAAGGGACCCAAGTGCCTGAGCCATTATCTGCTGCCTGCAAGGGTGCACATTAACAGGAAGCTGGATTGGAAGTGTCGGTGAGGCTTTCACCCAAGCATTCCATTATGGGATATAGACATCCCAAGCAGTGGATTAGCTGCCATACCATGATGCTTGCCCTCCATTTTGACTTGTTAATTTTTGTTTTGAATAGGGATTATTTTGGATTAATTTGAAAAGTTTCTTTTAGTTGCTAGGTAAGAAAAGAAAATAATAACACTGATAGACTCAAGATATATTCTTTTTTTTTTTTTTTTTTTTTTGACAGATAGAGATAGACAGTGAGAGAGAGAGACAGAGAGAAAGGTCTTCCTTCGTTGGTTCATCCCACCAAATGGCCACTATGGCTAGTGCTGCGCCGATCCAAAGCCAGGAGCCAAGTGCTTCTTCCTGGTTTCCCACGCGGGTGCAGGTGCCCAAACACTTGAGCCATCCTCCACTGCCCTCGCGGGCACAGCAGAGAGCTGGACTGGAAGAGGAGCAACTGGGACTAGAACCCGGAGCCCATATGGGATGCCAGCGCCGCAGGCAGAGGATTAACCAAGTGAACCATGGCGCTGGCCCCTCAAGATGTATTCTTATAAAAAGTACAAATCATATGTTCACTGTAGGCCTTTGTTTCCATTCACTGTAACCATTCATCAGTGTGTAGTTTTCTTTGGTGCATGAGACCTTGAATTAACCTCAGTGATTTGGGCTGGGCATTTGGCACAGTGGTTAAGTTGCTGCTTGACACCCACAGCCTGGTCCAAGTCTCAGCTCCTCTACTTCTGATCCAGCTGTCTGCTAATGTGCACCCTGCAGGCAGCAGAGGGTGACTCAAATACTTGGGTCCCTGCCACCCTTCTGGGAAACCTGGATTGAGTAGCTGGCTCTTGACTTTGGCCTTGCCCAGCCGTGGCTGTCACGGGCATTTGTAGAACAAAGCAGTGGGTGGAATATCTCTGTCTCCCTATGTCTCCTTGCCTTTCAAATAAAATTTAAAATTAGTAAATAAAGACTTTTTTAAAAAACAGCTAATCTGCCATTGATTAAATTTTGTCTCCTGAGACTACCAACCACATTGCTTTGTAAATGATGCCAGAAAGTCTATTGCCAAGCAAACAATTTTTAGAATATCTCATGAAAAACAAGACATTCCTCAAAATTCTTATTTAAACATTGTCTTCTTAATTTTTAAGTTTTTGCCTTGCATTTCTTCATCTTAGGTTAATGTTGCAATATTACTAATATCATTAATTCATTTTTTTGATAGGCTCTCCAGTGCCACAGGCCCAGTCACCACAACCTCACTTATTGGGTGCTAGACTGCAGAGTGCACCCACTCTGACTGACATCTATCAGAACAAGCAGAAACTCAGAAAGCAACACTCTGACCCTGTGTGTCCATCCCACTCTGGGGCTGGGTATAGCTACTCACCACAGCCCAGTCGGCCTGGTAGCCTTGGAACCTCTCCCACCAAGCACATGGGATCCTCCCCACGGAATTCTGATTGGTTCTTTAAAACGCCTTTGCCAACAATCATTGGCTCTCCTACTAAGGTGTGTTTATTAAACCCTTCTGTAGATCATGAAGTGGTATAGTATTTATGAAGAGGATTCATGATGAAAATAGCATAATTTAATGAACACAACCTCTGTGCCGGACACTAACCACTTGCTGAATGCTCTCCGTGCATGAGCCCATTTAATCTTCAGAAAAGGAAATAGAGACTTAGTGAGTTGAAATGAATGCTCTGAGGTGACAGGCTGTAAATAGAAGAGCCAGTATTTGAATCCAGGTCTGAGTCCTGATTACTGTGCCACACACCCTGCTAATTCTGAACACTTCCTGCCATATTAACTAGCTTGTATATGTTTCTTTAGACCACAGCTCCTTTCAAAATCCCCAAAACACAAGCGTCTTCCAACTTGTTAGCCTTGGTTACTCGTCATGGGCCTACTGAAGGGCAGTCCAAAGATGGGACTGACCCACGGGAATGCTCCCACTGCCTCTTCGTACAAGGAAGTAAGAGGCAGCGGCCTGAACAGCAGAGCAAGGCAGTGTTCGGCAGGTAAAAGACTGTTTCTTTCCTCGCCTTAAATATGAAAACTGTAATAGCAAAACAAATATATTTCTTTATAGAAGCTGCCAGATCATGTAAGTCTAGAAGCTGGCTTATGCCTTCTAATTATTAATATGTATTGTATACATTTAACATCTCTGGAAATTGCAGATGCTTCCAGTAACTGTAAAATGCAGAGTTCTTCCTGAACTTCCTGAATTTTCTACTTTTGTCTATTGTTTTGGTTATGGAAGTTTATATCTACCTTGAATTATTTGGTGTCTGAATTTTTGTTTCCTTATTCTCTGTCTATTAACCCTTCTATTTTTTTAAAAAACTATACCTCCACATTATTAACATGACTATTCTTTTTAGATCTGTCAGTACTGGGAAATTATCAGATCAACAAGTAAAGACAACTTTAGGTGGATACCAGGGGAGCACAGACAGTTTAAATACAGAACGACCAATGGATATAGGTAAGAAAAAAATCTAATTTCTTCTTAGGTAATTTATTAGCATATGCTTTACTTTCTTATTCCAGTGGTGACAAATTACCATAAACTTGGTGGCTTAAAACAGCTTAGATGTGAGGCCAGTGTGTGGCATAGCAGTTAAGCCACTGCCTACAATGTTAGCATCTTGTATCAAGTTCAAGTTTTAACTGCTCCACTTCCCATCCAGCTCCCTGCTAATGTGCCTGGGAAAGCAGTGCAAGATGGCCCAAGTCTTTGGGCCCCTGGCACCCATGTGGGAGACCAGAATGGAGTTCCAGGCTCCTGGCTTAGGCCTGGCTCAGCCCTAGCCATTGCAGCCATTTGGGGAGTGAACCAATGAATAGAAAATCTCTCTGTCTCTCTGTCCCTCTCTCTGCCACTCTGCCTTTCAAATAAAATCTTAACAAAAACCAGTTCAAATGTGTTACTGTACAGTTCTAGAATTGTCTTTGTCACCTCACTGTCCTGTGGAGATAGAGACTTGTTCAACATCTTGATGATTAGCAGCCTATAAATTAGAAGGAATTCTGACCTGGATTCTTTTTTTATTAGTAGGGTAATACAGGCCAAATTAGTGTAAATAGATGAGTGTACTTCAGAAGGTTCATGGAAAATGGAATATAAGATAAATGTAGTTGTATAATAAATTCCCCAGGTGATTATTATGTAAATGCAAATTTGAGAATCACCATTGTAACCTTTTTGTTGTTGTTTTCTCTGTCACTTTTTAATTGACTTCCCCTTGAGCATCCAAAGGAGAAAATGCCTGGTCAGCAAAATACCTTACTGCATGTGGTTTCTAGTTCAGAGAGAATTCTGTAGGATTTATTATTTCACTCTGTCTTCTTGCCTTCATGATTTCTAAAGAGAATTCCAGTTCATATTATGATGGTTGTTGGCATGATATATCATTTCCCATCCTTGTACTTTCAACCGAGTTATATTTTTGACACTAAAGTATGTCCTCTGTAGATGCATATATTGGATCTCATTTATTATAAGCTGACAGTCTTTATATATTATTTGGCATTTAATATTATTATTGACATAGTTAGATTTATGTATGCATTTTGCCTTTTTTTCTGTGTGTGTCATGTTTATTTTATTGCTTTCTTTTGCATTAAGTGAGTAGTTTGAAGTGTCAGATACTGATCCCTTTAATTATGTTTTTTACCTTCTTAAAAAGTTATTATTGGTTGTTTTGGTGCTTACAGTATATGTATGAAGGTACTTCAACAGTTTGTAGAAAGTGGAGTAAAGGGGCTGGCACTCTGGTGTAGTATTAAGCCTCTGCCTGCGGTGTCAGCATCCTATACGGGCGCCAGTTTGTGTCCCAGCTACTCCTCTTCCGATCCAGCTCTTTGATATGGCCTGGGAAAGCAGTGGAAAATTGCCCAAGTGCTTGAGCCCCTGCACCTTCGGATCAGCCCAGCTCTGGCTGTTGTGGCCATTTGAGGAATGAACCAGCAGATGGAAGACTTCTCTATTTCTTCCTCTCTAACCCTGTGGAATGAATAAATAAATCTTTAAAAAAAGAAAAAATTGAATAAAAAGGTAAGTTTATTTTGGTTCAAAAATTTTTGAATTCTGTGCATTTCATACTAATCTTAGCCCAGAGACTGAGAAGTGATTCTGTGCATTTCATAGTATGTACTTTTCATGAACTTTTTGAAGACTTCTGGTATGCATGGATTTCAATATTTTTGCACCAAAGTAAACATTTTAATTCCATTGCCACAAACTTCTTGAAGTACCTTTATATTAAATTATAATAATCCACTTCAGATTTACACTAACTTGATTCTAGTAAAGCATAAACATTTTACCCCTAGATAGCCCTTTTCTTTTCCCTCTTTAAGTACTATTTCTTTCTACTTGTAAAAAAATATTTATTTGAAAGGCAGAAAGATAGACAGACAGTATCTCCTGTCTGCTGATTCATTCCTTCACAGATGCTTGTAACAGCCTGTACTGGGCCGGGCTGAAACCAGGAGCAGGTTATTGAATCCAGATCTCCCAAATGGGTGGCAGGAACCCAAGTACTTGAGCAAGACTGCACGTGAGCAGGAAGCTGGACTGGGAGTGGAGCTGGGACTCAAACTCAGGCACTCCGATGCAGGATGCAGGCAGCCCAAGTGGTATCTTAACCACTGTGCTTAACCCTTTTCCGTCTTCAAGAGCAGTTTCTGTTGCCTGTTTTTTTCTCTGTGTACAGTTATACTCTTCACTGCTTATTTGCATGTATCATAATTCTTTAGTTGCAAATTGAACATGTTATATGATGTTTGATAGCAGTTCTAGATGTAGATCTTCCCTCCCCAAGCTTTATAAAATTTTTAAAATTTTGGGGTTGGTGCTATTGGGTAGAAGGTTAAGCCTTTGCCTGCAGTGCCTGCATCCCATCCTGGTGCTGGTTCAAGTCTCAGCTACTTCTGATCCAGCTCCCTGCTAATGTGCCTGTGAAAGCAGCAGCAGATGTCCCAAGTGCTTGGGCCCCTGCACCCATGTGGGCTCCTCTTTAGCCTGACTCAGTCCTGGCCGTTGGGACCATTTGGGGAATGAACCAGTGGATGAAATTCTCTCTCTCTCCTCTTTCTCTCTGTCTTCCCTCTTCCCCTTCCTCTGTATTTCTGCCTTTCAGATAAATAAATAAATAAATCTTAATTTTTTTTTGTCTGGTGAACTATTTCAGTGAAGTCTTGTATTTGCCATTACACAGGAAGATGATGCCGTGGCTGCATGGGTAGTCACTGTGGTGTGACAGTAGTTTTAGTAGAACTCTGATTCTGTTCTCTCCCCTGTTGACATCACTCCCAGCTGCTAGCCTCTCTTAATTGCCAGTAGGTTGCTCTGTTTTTGACAATGTCTTGGGGGTATAATTTGTTTAACAGGCTGATTTAATTAAATGCTGGCTCCTTTGCAGTAGTCTTTGAGGACAGTCTTCAAGCATTGTTTGGATTACAGGAAGGTTCTTAGGTGTCTCTTTCCTTAGTTCTCTCTGGTAAACTACTAGATGATGCATTGTTTACTTTCTGGCTCTCTTGGAGCTACCAGCCTCCTTGCATTTGCTTACTACCAACATCTGCATTGTTTTGGATACCTCCCTTCTGGGTGAACTTCCACATGATCTACTTCAAATCGTTTCCTTGGGGAGAGCTTCAGCATTTTCTGTTCTCTGTCTCTCCCACTGCCGGAGAAAACCTGTGCACCACTGCTGTGGAGCTGGGGCTGAGGACAGAGGTCTTATTTCTCTTGGAGGGACATCTCAGCTCTATGCATAAGTCATTCTTTTATGTGCTTTAACCCCAGAAGTCACTGGGAATTGGGACAGGTTTTGGAAACAGCCTGCCTTGATGACCATAATGTGTTTCATTGCACTTTATTTTTAAAGTTTATAGAACTCATTAGTTCTACATGAATATTTAAGTCCAAGTTAATGGATATGAAACCAGATTGCTTTTCTTAGAGTATTTAGTCATTAAAAAATGCATCTTTGATAATTTATACTCTTTTCCATTTCTGTCTTTCACATGAACTTTCTTATCATTTGAAGTTATGTATTTGCTTTCCAGTTACAGAGATTCAGCTTCTGAAAATTAAAAAAATGTTGATAGTGGGGGAAAAACTTAAGACTTTAGGTAAAAAAAAATAGGAACAGTAGATCTTAAAAATAGCTCCATGAACATCCTTAGATATTTTTATACCTGCTAAAATAAAATCTTGAATATATTAAATAGTTGTATAAATCATTTTATACATTTTCTCTAACAATAAGTACCTTTAATTAATTTATTTTTAAATTTTTCATGCTCTCCATTTGTTAATTATTTCCTGGCAGTTGCACTACGTTATAGATAAGATGGACATAGAGGCAATTTTTCAGTATTTTTTTAAGATTGTGATTTGTTTGTGATTAACTCCTGCCTCCATTCTGTGGTTTTGGAAGTAATGCTTGAATGTGGAAAAGCTTTGGGCAGCTTTCATTGGTTTTGCTTAGTTCAGTGGATAGGGGATTTTTCATCTGCCCTTCGTTTTTAGCTGAAGCTCAGTCCTCTGTCCAACATTGTCCAGCCTCCCTTCTTTCCTGAAAGATGGACGTATGTGATTCTGACATGTATGTTGGTATCTTTCTATAGCTGTATTGCTGTGGGAACTCTCCATTCAGCTTACTCTTGTGTTCTTATTTCCAGTTCTTGGTTTATACTTTTTCAAATTGCTCTCAACATATAGATTTGCATTTTATATATTTTGGAAGTATCCAGAAGTAACTGAGTACTAGACTTTGGTGTGTAATTCACACAACTATGAAGAGATTACTGTAAAATATTTTTAATGGAAATACAGTATTGGGTTTTTTGATTTTAAGAAATAAATGCCTTTTGTTGAAAGAAAAAAAACCTAATACAAAATCAGAGTCTCCCTGTACGATCCTACCCTCAGGTGTAAACACTGTCAAGGTAATACAACATTTGTAAACGTTTCATTGTAGCTCCTGCAGGAGCCTGTGGTGTTGTACTGGCACCTCCCACAGGAGTGGCAGCAAGTTCTAGGGCTGTCCTCTTCACTGTGGGGTCTCCTCCGCACAGTGCCACGGCCCCCACTTGTACCCATATGGTCCTTCGAACAAGAACAACCTCAGGTGAGGCACTTCATCCTATTATGATCTGGGGCTGGTATTTAGAGTGTAGTGTTCTGATAATGACTTACTGTAACTTCGACAAGTCATTTGTCTCTGGGTATCAGTTTCTGTAGAAATGGAAATAACCTTAAAGAGATATAAGAAGTAAATAAAAACCTTTATAAAGTAAATGTTATATTACTTATATAAAAATATTATAATATATCATAAATATATGCTTATGTATAATACTAAAAATAAATGTGATTTCTCCATGAAGAAGGAGCTATGCATATACTTTTCAGGTTATATGTTGAAGGCTTATTTTTATAGGCTGAATGAATTATTTGAAAATGATAGGCTATTGTTTGTTACTGTTTGTTTTTTAGAAACTCAAGTTTTTTTTATTTAAATGTTATATAGTTGAGGTTTTAATCTTTAAACTTTATCCTATATACATATAGATAATCTAATAGATTTGTTTTATCATGTATTCTGTATTAATTGGTTATATATGAAAAATTAAGTTAATAATATTTAGATTAGACTTGACATAAGCAATTTGATAGCATCTTATTTATATACTGTACTTTGTGTCCTTTAAGTTTTCTTTTTATGAATAAGTTACTAGTCACAACATCAGTAGATTAATAAGCAAAGGATAGAAGTAGGTAAGAAGAAGTAGAGCTAAAATGTTTTAAGATTATTAAAAATCTTAAATAATAAATTACTCTTTTAAGATTGTAATATTTTTATATCAATTAATATCCCAACATTTTTAGAAGTATTATGCTTGGTGTTGAAGTTAGTGGTATCTATGTACTTATGCCTGTTTTAGAAAGTAATGTGGCAGTTCTTAGGAAGAGCTGTAAACATGTTTGTAACATTTGATTTGTAGTAATCGATTCCTGTGTATAATACCACTTTGGAGTAATTTATCACAACAAAATTATTTAAAAGAAAGAAATAGCTGTGTGTTTCATAGTACTGTTGTTTATAATGTGAAAAAATCAGAAACACAAGTATAAATGACTCCAAATAAACATTACATATACACAGTTAGTGGACCACTGAGCATCCACTGAGTTTTCTAATTATGAAGCCTCTGGAGCAGCAAGGAGAAATGTATATGATATATATTTGTGTAAGGCAGATCATAAACTAGCTATGATGATATCTGTAAAATATACATATACGCAAGGGATAAGAGCGAACATGGAAAACTATAAACTAGTCATATGCTCAAAACAGGAGAGAGTATCAGTGACTTATCTTTTAACATTTCCTTTCTTACTTCACTAGGTTTTGTTCAATACATAAGAGTAGCAGTGGGTGTACAAGCCCTTACTCTGTGACCTAACTCTGGGCGCGGGGCCATGTGTCCTGTGCTTCCTTGCAGTGGGGTCCAGCAGCTCGGGAGGCTCCTTGTGCTCCGCAAGTGGCCGCGTGTGTGTGGGCTCCCCGCCTGGGCCATTGGGCTCTTCCCCTCCGGGAGCAGAGGCAGCTCCCAGCCTGAGATACGTGCCTTATGGTGCTTCACCCCCTAGCCTAGAGGGGCTCGTCACCTTTGAAGCCCCTGAACTGCCGGAGGAGACCCTGATGGAGGTAGAGGAGAGGCTGTAGTGGCATGTGAATGCGATGTGTGAGAACGGTTTATGATGCTAGAAGAGCAGCGCACATGGCATAGTCCTAAGTCGTGTTCTTCTCTTTACCTCACTTTTTCTTTTCTGTTTGGAAAGCATTGCTGGTGTGTTTTCAGAATAATAACACTCATCCTGGCAAGCTTTGGTTCACAGGAGGGACACATATAAATTTGGGTATTTAATATTTGGTTTGAAGTTTATTTACTACTTTGAGATTGTAAAAGAGTAGTATTTATCCTGTAACCACAACATTTTATTCTCAAAATATGCTTTTCTTCCCAAGGTAAAAATAATTTACTTAACACTTAAGTTTAAATTAATAAACTATAATGCCAGATTAGTCAATGATATCATTAAATGCTACCTGCTAAGCTGGCAGGGTGCTTGCATTTGTAGATCAGTACTGAGCCAGTTCTAAAGGGGAAAAAAAAAAAAGACATTGTACTTTGAAGTCTGCTGAGCACAAGTCTAGAACAGAAGTTAGTTTTATGATTTCAGTGTGTGGCCATACAATTCTAATTGTTTCAATTCAAAAACACCACTCAATTGAGTAATGTTTCTCAGTCCTTATGTGTCCTGCTAGTGTAGCCTGAGTTTTAATTAAAATAGCCAGCTCTTTAGGCTAAGTAAAGAACAAATTCTCTAGGACCTCTGCTGCTTTTTTTATGTAAATAAGAATAAATATTTATATACAAGTTATAAAATAGTACATGAGTAGTGATTTTGTAACTTAGAAGTAATTTAATCTAAAATTGAAAAAAAAATCCTGATTTTTTTTCTGCCTCCATCAAACTAGATATAAATTATATTCTAGTCTGTATTCTGGTGCATTGGAAGAATCCAGTCCATTGTACCATCACAGAACAGAGAGACTTTCAGAAGTTGATTAATGTATTCCCCTGTGTCTAGGAGAAACATAAAAGGAGGGCAAGAAACTTTAAATCTTATTTGAGATTTCAAAGTACATTTATAACTAAACCCAACAGAACATTAATTTCAAAATAGGTTTATAGCAGATCTCAACAGAGCGTTATTTCAGAATCCCCATTTTCAGTGTTGCTTCTTTGGGTGCAGTTATGCCTGTATATGCCTCCTTTAACTACCTGAAAAAGCCACGGAAATTCAGAGCTTTGGTATTAGGAGACCCTGTTAACTAAAAACCATCAGAAATTAAAATAAGGCTTTTTTTAACTACAAGAAGTTAGAACAATTCATTAAGTTACCAAGAAGTGTGTTTTAGCGTGGAGCATACACTTAAAATCTTGATATCTGTTTTGTCATGTTTCTGTCTCATGCATATTGATGTGATTTTTCAGTTTTCATTTTTTGTCTGATAAAAGCACAGTGACCTCTCTTTGGAGCTTACTTATATGGGTGCTCTAATACATACACAAACACACGCACATACCCACATTCAGCTACATTTATATTTTTCTTACCAGCTTTCTGACCTTTATTGAAATCTCAGTCTCCTTTGTTCATTCTAATATTCATGAGAGTAGAAAAGCATTAACAGTGGCCCTGGTTTGTGTACATAAGTAGGTATGTACCTATTGACCATCTGAAATCTTGCATGACACATTGACTTTGCTGCAGCGAGAGCACACAGACACCTTACGCCATCTGAACGTGATGCTGATGTTCACTGAGTGTGTGCTGGACCTGACGGCCGTACGAGGGGACAATCCTGAGCTGTGCACATCTGCTGTGTCCTTGTACCAGATTCAGGAGAGTGTGGTTGTGGACCAGATCAGCCAGCTGAGCAAAGACTGGGGGTAGGTGCCCCCCTCTTACGCATTTCTCAATCCTTTATGCTTTCCATAAACTTGTGTCTGCTATGTAGGCAGTATCATCCCCTGAAAATCCTATCTTATTATTAGAAGCTTCATGGGAGTCTCCTGAGTCATTTCGTTGTACACAATTTCACTGTATGAGTCAACAGATTCTGCAACCCTAGCATTGGCATTCCCCTTTCCCTGTAAACGATACCATTGAATATATTCGATGATGAAGAGATTGTTTTTATCTGAGAGTTTCCGTTGTGTTCAAAGTACACAAATCTTCCATGCCAAGCTTTCTCCCTTCAGGAGTTATGTGTGCACTAAAAAAGCAAGGAGGTGTTTGGGCATAGTGGTTAAGTTACCAATTGGAATGGCTGCATCCCATATCAGAGTGCCTGAGTTTGAGTTCTGGCCCCACTGTCAATTCCAGCTTCCTGATAGTGTGCGCCTTGGGAGATGGCAGGTGATAGCTCAAGTGCCAGGATTCTTCCGTGCACCTGGGAGATCCAGATTGATTTCCTGGTTCCTGATTTCAGCCTTGCCTAGTCCTGTCTAGGCATTTGGGGAGTGAAGTAGCAGATGGAAGCTCTCTGTCTGTCTGTCTGTCTGTCTGTCTCTCTCTTTGCCATTCAAATAAAATCAGTCAGTGAAGCAAGAAGATGCACTTTAGAAAGGCTTTTGAATGGTGTCCTAATGTGGGCCACCAAATCTGCTCTGTTGGTTCAGAGGTAACGCTCTGCTCCTGTCTTCCGGGTTGCAGGCGAGTGGAGCAGCTGGTGTTATACATGAAAGCGGCACAGCTGCTTGCAGCTTCCCTGCATCTTGCCAAAGCCCAGATCAAGTCCGGGAAGCTGAGCCCATCCACGGCTGTGAAACAAGGTATGGAAGCACACTGCAGTGTGTGGCACCAGGGCCCTTGAATTGCCCCATCCCATCCTGCCAAGGAAAAAAAGTTTCTTATGAGAAATTCCCTTGTTATTCAATATTCTTGACTTGGAAAAGATGCTGGGGTTTTTGGCCTTCACCATTTAATTGATGCAGAGACAAGTCAAAAGTGTTTTTATTAAAAATCTTTCCAGGCTGGCGCCGCGGCTCACTAGGCTAACCTCTGCCTGAGGCGCCGGCACTCCAGGTTCTAGTCCCGGTCGGGGCGCCGGTTCTGTCCTGGTTGCTCCTCTTCCAGTCCAGCTCTCTGCTGTGGCCTGGGAGGGCAGTGGAGGATGGCCCAAGTGCTTGGGCCCTGCACCTGCATGGGAGACCAGGAGGAAGCACCTGGCTCCTGGCCATTTGTGTGGTGAACCAACGGAAGGAAGACCTTTCTCTCTGTCTCTCTCTCTAACTCTGCCTGTCAAAAAAAAAAAAATCTTTCCTACAGAAAGAGGGCTCATAGGTCATTTGGTGTTACTTTCCTTATATCATCAGGAAAAAGTGTACATTACCATGTCTTTGTTTCTGGAGGAAAATTAAAATTAGTTCCATTTTAACTTTTTTTCAGTTGTCAAAAATCTGAATGAACGATATAAATTCTGCATCACCATGTGTAAGAAACTTACAGAAAAGCTGAATCGCTTCTTCTCTGACAAACAGAGATTTATTGATGAAATCAACAGCGTGACTGCAGAGAAGCTCATCTATAATTGTGCTGTGGAAATGGTAACTCTTTAATATTTAATCTCACATATGACTGCTTAACTTTAAGACCCTATTTTGGGCCGGCGCCGCGACTCAATAGGCTAATCCTCCGCCTAACAGCGCCGGCACACCGGGTTCTAGTCCCGGTCAGGGTGCCGGATTCTGTCCCGGTTGCCCCTCTTCCAGGCCAGCTCTCTGCTGTGGCCAGGGAGTGCAGTGGAGGATGGCCCAAATGCTTGGGCCCTGCACCCCTTGGGAGACCAGGAGAAGCACCTGGCTCCTGCCTTCGGATCAGCGCGGTGCGCCGGCCACAGCACACCAGCCGTGGCGGCCATTGGAGGGTGAACCTCTCTCACTGTCCACTCTGCCTGTCAAAAAAAAAAAAAAACAAAAAAAAACACCCTATTTTGAAGTATCTTTTTTTAAAGAATGTATGTCCTATCCCTCTCAAGTCCTAAGTATTCTGGATTACTAAGGAATATTAATCAACAGTAACACTTAATGTAATGTAATTTAATAATATGTTTAACTACAGTAAAATGTTATAATATCTTTTATTAAACATTGCTAACACTAGGCTTGAGCTAATCTTTTTATAGTTGGCATCTAAAAGTGTTGGCTGGATATGTTTCTGCATTTTTAGAAATTGTGACTTGATAAAACTGTTAGAAAAAATACTTTATTAACCAGTCTACAAAAGTTTATATGATTAGTTCCCACTTACTGATTTACTACTTTGAATTATACTGCTGTTCTAGTCTTATTTTGAAAGCCATTTAATGTGTCATTAAAATTTTTTTTAAAAAGATGCTAGTATACATTTTATGACACCTGATTCTGAATCCTGGAATCATAGTGTGGTGGATTATAATCATGTCATCAATGTGTTAATTTCAGATAGTTTCCACTTTAAAGCTACATTGTCCAAATGGATTTGTATTTTCTTGGAAAAGTTGAGAATCTTCTTGTCTTTGCTGCCTCTTCCAGGTTCAGTCTGCAGCCCTGGATGAGATGTTCCAGCAGACTGAAGATATTGTTTATCGTTATCATAAGGCAGCTCTTCTTTTGGAAGGCCTCACCAAGATCCTCCAGGACCCTGCAGATATTGAAAATGTACATAAATGTGAGTTGACTTATACTAATTGGTTGCAGTTTGTCTGTGTTCTACAAGTGTAGTAGAAAGAGCCTGGAAATTGGAATCTTTCTGCCTATGTTTGTATCGTGGATTTCCAACCTTGTGCCCATCACTAAACCTTTCTGGAGTCTCAGATTCTTGTTTTGTAAGATGGGGTTAACAGGCCGGCGCCGTGGCTTACTAGGCTAATCCTCCGCCTTGCGGCCCTGGCACACCGGGTTCTAGTCCCGGTCGGGGCGCCGGATTCTGTCCCGGTTGCCCCTCTTCCAGGCCAGCTCTCTGCTGTGGCCCGGGAGTGCAATGGAGGATGGCCCAAGTCCTTGGGCCCTGCACCCCATGGGAGACCAGGATAAGTACCTGGCTCCTGCCATCGGATCAGCGCTGTGCGCCGGCCGCAGCGCGCCGGCCGCGGCAGCCATTGGAGGGTGAACCAACGGCAAAGGAAGATCTTTCTCTCTGTCTCTCTCTCTCACTGTCCACTCTGCCTGTCAAAAAATAAAAATAAAAAAAAATAAAAATAAAGTATTGATAAATATGTCTAAACTAGAAATAGATACATAAATATAGCTACTCTAACATTTTATACATTTACATTCATAAAAGTAAATAATATGTTTATAAGTATTAATATGAAGGTACTTCAGAAAGTTGGTGGAAAATGAAATTAACAGTATGAGTTTATTTTAGTGCAAAAATTTTTGGAAATCTGTTTATAGTATTTTCCTAATATACATTTTCCAAATATCTGGAACAACATTTATTGCACTGAGCAACATTTTTACACCAGAATAAAATCATGCTTTTAATTCTACTTTTCTATGAACTTAAATTATCTATGTATATTAATATATTTAATATAACACAAATGAATATATTTAATAAAATTACTTTGTAGGAGAACCTCATTTTTATTATTAAATACAACTGGAGTAGGCATTGTGGTGTAGCATGTTAAGTTACTGCTTGGGGCATCTACATCCTACATCAGAGTGCTTGGGTTCACATCTTGCCTCAGCTTCTGATCCAGTTTCCTGCTAATGCATACTCTGAAAGGCAGCAGACGATGGCTCAAGTACTTGGGTCCCTGCCTCTGCCACCCATGAGATGAAGTTCCCTGGCTCCTGGCTTTGGCCTGACCCAGCCTCAGTTGTGGGCATTTATGCATTTGAACCATTAGGTAGAAATTGTCTTTCTCAGTCATTATGTCTTTCAAATAAGAATAAGATAAAGAAAGTTTAAAAAAAAATGCAACTGTTAGTGACTGAAGAATGCTGTGATGATCCTGTGTACTGCAGATTAGTTACAGATAGCGGAATGGAGAGTAGTAGGTTACCAGGATGACACTTTTTTTTTTAAGGTTGATTTATTTGAAAGGCAGTGAGAGAGAGTGAGCGAGCAAGTGAGCAAACTGTGGTTCACTTCCAAAATGCCCACAACAACCAGGTCTGGGCCAGGCTGAAGCCAGGAGCCAGGAACTCCAGGAACTTCATCTTGGTCTCCCACATAGGTGGCAGGAACCCTTGTACCTGGGTCACCTTCTGTTGTCTTTCTAGCCACATTAGCACAAAACTGGATAGGAAATGGAGTAGTCATTACTCGAACCAGTGCACTAGTTTGGGACATGGGTATCCCAAGTGGCAGTTCAACCTGCTGCACCACTGTGCCGGCCCCCAAGATAATATTATTACTTATCAAATAAAAGCCAGGATAGTATGTAGCCTAACTGGTGAGCTCACATTCTGTATCATAGTACCTAGTTCGAGTGCCAACTCCAGCTCCCAGTTCTGGCTTTCTGCCATTAGTCCCTGGAGGGTACATAGTTGTGTTACATTTTGAATAGCCACCAAAGGATGACAATTCTAAAATTATTTGTAGTTGTGAACAAGTCAGCTGTTAAAACCTGAATGTTCTTTGTATGATGTGTTTATTTAAATTTCACCACTGTGCAGCACTAAGCTAGAAACCACATCGAACTATTACGAGGCAGAAGGAAACATTCAGAACTGTTAACTTTGGGGCAAAGAAATGAGACAATGTAGAGAGTGATTTTTTTTTTTCGTGAGTTCTTCTGTCCTTGGTTTGGTTTTGAAACTATGGTTGTGAATTTCACTTGGAAAATTTTATTTCTAGATAAATCTAGTATTGAAAGAAGATTGTCAGCACTCTGCTATAGTACCGCTACGGTGTGAGCAGCAGCAGGCTATCCCGTGAACCACTGGTGGGAACAGGAGATGATCCACTTGGGAATACAGCTTGGGTTCTGCCACCCCATCCCCAGGAAACTGTAGTTTCTCAACTGGTGACTACCAAAGAACAAGCAGTGATTTCAAAAAGGAAAAACAATAAAAAACTACACATTTGTAGGAAATCTGCCTTATCGGAGAAGTCACCCCTACCCGTTTTCTTTGTAAAAGAAGCAAGAATATTCCACTTGACTCCCAGTTTGAACTTGGTAAATAAATGTACCTTAGAACTAGAATTATCAGTACAGTTATTCTTAAGGATAATTAAAGATGAGTGGCTTTTCACTCAGCTTTCACTTTCACCATAGCAGTGTGTGAAATTCCATGTGTTTGCTGAGGTACACAAGTAAAAATATTTACATCTCATCCAGGCAGTTTGATATTTGGAGTGATTTTATCTGAATCTGAGCATGCATCCTTAAACAGCTCAGGAAGAAACAGCTTAAGAAGAAGCAAAAGATGGCTCTTGGAAGGAATTTTGAAATCTTCAATTTGATCTTAAATGGACACATGTTAATCTTCCAAAATTCTTTTATATTGCACTAATTTATTAAAACAATTACATATTGGATTTTGCAATTTAAAACTAACTGAGGCACAATGAACTTGTTTAAAATATTTTACTTGATTATATACATATACCCTTTCCAGATTTCACATGTAATCACTAGTGAACTTTTAAATGGTCAAAACTTGTGTTCATGTGACCTTTGCATTTTTTTAACCTGTTCATCTACACCTACAGATTTTCTCAGTAATATTTTGAGTTGCTGGTTATTTGCTTTTGGTTGCATGCAGAATGTGCATTGATGCCTGTGACCTTAGAATTACTAAAGGCACTAGGTATTTGGGGGCAGTATTAAAAAGTATATCATGAATCAAGTTTCAAGAATCTTAGTAGGGCCAAAACGAAGTTGAAGATAAAGGCTTGTTAGTAATGTGGATTTTCTACATGAAGTTAGTGAAAAATGAGGTTTGTTTGTCTTAGGAAAACGGGCAGCTCTCTCCAGTCTAATGTGTATTTTTCATGTTCATCCTGACAATGCACCGAGTAGCTCATCATGGAGAATGCAGGCAGTTAACATCCCCCTCCAGGACTGGTCCCTACTTTGTATATTATTTTTGTTTCTTTTACTTATTTGCTTGAATACTTGAATAAACCACTTACCAGTTTAAATCCTTTTACTTTAAAATTTTTACATAAAATAATACAAACTCTTTGACAAATTGCACAGACACTCTGGCATTAACCTAATTTTAGTGTACTGATAAAAACAAAAACAAATATGATTTCCCTTACTTTGACAAAGTAATGTAATTTTTACCTTATTTATCTGTATGAAATTCCAGCAGTTAATTTGAACATTTATTTATATGATGTTTGTATTTTTAAGTCTTTAATACAGTGTTTCTACCTCTCATTTGTAACTGCATGCATTGTCCTTGAAACTAGGTAAAACTCACTAAATTGTTGTGTAATAAATAGCCTTTTTATTATTGCCTGTACAAATGTATATTAAGGTAAAATAAAACTGACAAGTGTTTCTAAGTTACAATTGGGTCCATGTTAAGTGGCCTGTCAAGCCAGATACTTCCTTAATGTGTTTGTAGACTTGGTTATAAAAATCCTTTGCCCCGTCAGAGGGCTGACAATTCTCTTGCAGGTGCCCTAGACCATTCAGCGATGATCCCTAGCCCTCCTTAGCCTCAGTGACACTGTCTTTTATGTAATATTTTGGACTTATAGTCAATTTTATTCATGTTTGCTCAGTTACCACCTGTATTATCTCAGATGACTCAGGTGTATTCCATCCCTTCCTCTCCTTCCTGTTTCATTTGAACATAGGATGAAACAGGTTCAGAGAGGGAAAGTGACTGGTCTGAAACCAGGAACTAGGTTCCTGATCTCACCGTGCTTTGTGACTTCCACCAGGAACTAGGTTCCTGATCTCACCGTGCTTTGTGACTTCCACATCTGGTGTTTGTCTTGCATAATAAAGGTCTCGTGGTAGGAGTTTTCGTGAACCAGTGAATTCTCAACAGCCGAGAACAAACTAAACTCATGAGTAATGGATCCGGTGATGCTTCCATTGTCAAGGCTAACTGCTGTAAGAGACTTTGCCTTGATTATAGCAATAATAAACAAATGCTTTATGTTTGCATGAGTATTTTCAGATTTCATATCATGTATCATAAAGTGGAAATGGTCTAGCCTATATCATGCATTGATACCTATATTCAAACTGTAACCTGAAATATTACTGGCCTCACAAATTAAGTAGAGGAATAATCAGCAAATTGTTAGTTGGCTTTCCTGCTGTGATGATTTCCTTTATTCCCTGTACCAGACTCTGCTCTAAGTCATTATTTCCCACGGTCCCATGCTCCCTTCCCTCCAAGAGGAGTGACCAGAGCAGCAGCAGTCCTCCACTTGCTAGGAACCAGGGAGGAGATTGTTAGAGCTGACCTCCTCAGTCCCCAGGGGCAATAAAGAGGACATTGAGTTTGAGGCAGTGGATATGAAGACATGGAGTAGTTGCCCCAAACCCGTGCATCCTTAAAGGTCGAGTCCCCACACCTCTGCTTTGTATGGCAGTAGCTGCTCTGCCTCCCTCCAGCTCACCCTCCTGCCAAGGCTTAAACCAGCTGTTGCTGATACTTACATGGGAATATCACATCTAAAAAGTATGTCACCCAATTGTAATACATTTAGTGGAGAGAAACAGCGTCCAGTCCCAGTCCTCACTAAGAAGATTCTGCCCATTCTAGAGTTGTGTGTCTTGAGCTGGGGAGGGGATCATTGTTAGGGTGGGCCACCTCAGTCTCCGAGGGCAATAAGTTGGAAGGTGAGTCACTGGGACATGAGAGCCTTGACTCAGACAGCTGAAAAACCCTTGCCATGATGGCAGTGGTGTAGCACTGCTTTGGTGGATGGCATCACACAATTTCCTGTGTGCTCCCTCCTCTTGGTTTCTGTAGACAGGTGTGTGTGTGTATGTTTTTTTAAGATTTATTTATTTGAAAAGCAGAGTTACAAAGTTATAGGAGAGAGATCTGCCATATGCTGGTTCACTCCCCAAATGACCACAAAGGTCAGGGCTGGGCCAGGCAGCAGCCAGGAGCCTAGAACTTCTCCCACATGGGTGGCAGATGCCCGAGGACTTGGGTCCTCTCCCACTGCTTTCCCAGGTGCATTAGCAGGGAGCTGGATCTGAAGTGGGGCAGCTGAGACATGAAACAGTGCCTAAATGGGATGTCAGCAGCATTGCAGGTGGCGGCTTAACCTGTTGCTCCCCCAGGCTGGCCCCTCTAGACAGTTTTCTTTTTGGATGAAGCAAAGTTGATCCGTTTTTTCCTAGGAGGATGGACTTTGGCAGGAAGTAGTCACTGGTTTTGTTCTGCCATAGATAGGTATAGATTAGAAGTATCTGCACTCACCTCTAGACAGCCTTAAACCACTTCTTGTATGTGGAATCCACAGCAGTCGAAGATGTTGGGTCCCTCCTAAGTTTATTTCTTGTTTATCAAAGCCTTTGCAAGGTTCGTTCTCTGGGGGAGGAGTCGAAGTGTTATTTTCCTCGCCTGAATCAGAAAACCACATAAGAGATGATCCACTTAAAAACACTGCAACCAGGAGAACTGTGAAAATTGTCTTGAGAACTTCAGCGTCTATGCAGGAGGTGAAGCTAAACTGGTGAAGGATCCGTGAGAATTCGGTGATCAAACTAGCGTACAGGAGCGGAGACTAACATCCTGCCACTGCCTGCAGAGCCCCTGCACCCTTGGGCTCAAGTGAGGCCGTGTCTGGTGTCCTGTGCAGTTGGAATTAGTCTGTAAGTTTTCCCTTTTTCCTAGAAGCCCATTAGGCCAGTTTTTTAATGTGACAAAGATGTTTTGTTGTTGAAGGTGTTTTAACAGCTCTCCATTGCGCCTTCTGGACTGAGTGCAGCAAAGGAGGCTGCAGAGGTGATGGAGCATGGTGGGGGGGGGCACTATGCTGTCCTTCCCGCCTTGGGGTTGAGGCTTCCCTGCATGCTGTGCATGGCCGGCCCAGGACGGGGTTGGGGAGGGGTCTCCCAGACAGGCTGCCTGGGTGAGCGGTCTTGGCCCTGCTCTGTGCTGCATGCCCTCCTCTCAGAATGGTGCTGCTCTTAGACACTTTGCTTCTATTCTCAGGAAACGTCAGTTCAAACACTGGTTTATTGAAAACTGTTCTTTCCCGCCTCAATTTGGCAGCATAACTTAGTGGTCCAGTTGGTCTCAAATCACAGCTGCACCCTGTCCAGCCGTGTGTCCTTGGGCAAACTTAACCGCTCCATCTCCCTCTCTGTTGTTGCATAGAGGGGTGAGGATGAAATGTCAATGACTCTGCAGTCCTTTGAACAGCACCTAGCATGTAGCATTCCCGTGAGGCCTGCTGGTGTGTGGCTGTCAGTGTAGGGCTCCTTGTTGCTCTTTGTTTTGAGGGGGTATGAATGGTAACTTGTTCTGCATTTGTTTGGGGGGCAAAGCTTGGATTTGGACTCACTGCATCCACATGTACTTTGGAATTTGCATGCAAGTCACCTTTTCCCAGCTTAGCCACCAGGCACCCTGGCTGCAGGCTTCCTTTGAGTTGCCTGTTTGGGTCAGTGTGACTGTTTAATGAAATGCGCCAGTACAGTATTTAGTACTTCATTTACTCCTCCCACCGATCCTTGCCTCATTTTACAGAGGGAAAAACAGATGTGCAGAGTGAGTTCCCCAAACCACACAACTGGCTCATGATGGGAGCAGACCACTGCAGAGGTCTGGACTTACACTGAGCTCAGCAAGCTCTCCCTGACCACCAGACAAGTCTGAGGCAGCTGGAGCCCTGCACTGGTTTCCCCCTAGAGACCCCAGGGCTCCATTCAACCCCCCATCTCCGGAACACGTTCTGGTGAGGCACAGGAAGCCGCGACAGGAGGAAGAGCTCCATGCCCTTTGGGGCCCACGCGTGTCCTGCTGGACCCATCTCCTGCCTGATGGAGGGCTGCAGAAGTTTGAGAAGCACGTGGTCGCACAGCTCTGTGCAGCCCTGTGCAGCCCTCAAGCCTGGAGCTGCAGCCCGGGAGCAGTCGGCGTTAGAAATCACCCAGGGTCTCCCAGCAGAAAGGGCTTCTGGGACATGTGAAAAACTCAAGCATTGGATGACCCATTGGGAATGGTTTCTGCTTGGTAGCTGGCTGGCTGTACGTGGGGCCCTGGATTGAGCTCACTCCTGGGAGCTGATTCAGTGTGAGATGGGAGCAGCCTCCACAGGCACAGCGCCAACCTGGGATCAGCACCTTCACTGGTGACAGGAGACACAGACCCCTTCCTCTGGAGTGCCCCGTGGGCTGCTGCTGCACGTGTGGCACAGTCCTGCCCAGTGGAGGGTTCAGTGCCAGCCCCGTGGCTCGGGAGGAGAGAGGCTGTATGGCCGTTGATCATTCCTCCCCACCTCAAGCCACCAAGTCTACCCAGTTTCTGCCTTCTGCTGCCCGACTCTTCCAGGCCAGCCCTCTTCACCGTGAGAGTTTGTGTGCCCCCGGTGCATGTCTGCAGGAGTGCCTGGTCGCATGGGAACCCCACCTGGCTGCTGCAGGAACAGCTTGGCAGAGGAGGAAGTGGCCTGTGCCCCGCCACACCTGTGGAAGCGCTTTTCCAAGTCATCCTGTGGGCGACTGAGTGCCTTCTGCCTGGCATGTTGATGCTTTCTGGGAGACAGCCATGGGAAGCCTGCAAGTGAGAGTTCTGATGTGTTCCTGGGCACCCAGAGTATTTCAGGGAAGATGAAGCGGAACTGAATGTGTTCCCCGGGAATAAACTAGCAGCAGAAAGACGGCCGGCAGCTGATTTGATAGCAGATGCCTTACACTGGGGTTGGAAAGTAGATTGACAGTTTCTCATACACACCTGGACTGTTCTGAGCATGACTCTTGCTTTTTCTTAGATCCCTTTTTCATGCTAACAGCAGCCCTGTGTACCTGTCCTTGGGGGGAACTTTTCTAAACTATGTTGAAACTGCTTCAGGGCCAGCGCAGTGTATTGGTCCCCTCCCCCTGAACCGGGGGTGAAGTGGATGGAGAGAGGGAAATGAAGCAAGCATTGCACTGTGGATATGAGTCTGGGTTCCTGGTGGCTCCTGCGTTGCTGCAGGGCTACCCACCAGGCTCCTCTCAGCTGGAGCAGCTTTGTTGAACTGGCTCTCCCTGGGTAATCATCTGCCTTGTGCTTCTAGCACCGTGTGGCTCCCCAGTGCCCCTGAGAAAGGGGTGGCCCAGGCTCCACCCAGCCCACTTTGGCTCCCTGAACAGAGGTGGCTGATCCGAAACTTGGGACGTCCCCACCTGCAGAGGCACCTGGCCTCCTGCAGCTCTGTACCGGCCTCTCCCCATGCCTTGCTGGAGCTCAGGCCTCATCTGCCCGGTTACTTCTCTCTACATTGCCTGGAGGCCCCCAGTTTTTGCCCTTTCTTTGGTAGCTCATTGAAAACAGGTTCATCTGCCAGGAATGGGCACAGAGCAGGAGACCAGGAAATGCCCTGATTGATGCAGACGGCGCCTTCTTGGGGGCCACTTTCCCTCCCAACATCCCTAGGTTGGAGCTAGAGGAGCTCACTGCAACGAGAAAGGCTATTCTTCTCGACTTGAGCTGCTGCCTCTTTTTCCCTCCTATTTACAAGAGTGGTTATCCTTAAGCATCGGCAAAGGGTTACCGGACTCCACGGTGCCCAAGCCCCTTAACAATAGAATGACACATCTGCCTATAACTGACAAGCACTGCTGTAGACTGCAAATCATCTCTAGATGACGTATAACGCCTAATACAATGTAAATGCTAGGTTAATGGTGGTTGTATTGTATTGCTTAGGGAATAGTGACCAAAAAAATCTGCAAATGTTCAGTACAATTTGTTTTTCCAAACATTTTTAAATTTTTTATTTTTTGACAGGCAGAGTGGACAGTGAGAGAGACAGAGAGAAAGGTCTTCCTTTGCCGTTGGTTCACC